ATGTTAAAAGCTTTAGTGATTCGTATAAGAAACAGCTACTCTCATCTATAACAACAGACCCTAATTATACCGTCGACAATTCATATGACAAATTTTACACTGCAATCATAGTCGACGATAACTAAGTATCTTCTAATTCTTTTAAATCTGAGGCATATATAATTGATGTATCGAAAGGATATTCCCTTTTTTACCACCTTAGCATTCTGATTGATTTTGCACATGACTGACATGTTTTAACTGGAGAAGGGGTTCGCACAGTGGTAGTTTTATAAACCACGTTTAATTTATTGACCTATTATACCTAGTGGTAGTTTTATAGACCACATTTAATTTATTAACTTATTATACTTAGTATTTATTTTTGGTGACTGTATCACCCAGTTTTAACATTTGATAATTGTACAGTTTATTGACGACACATTGACTGAATGTTATTTTATATTCTAATTTATATTCTAGATATTTTATTTATTTTTCAACAGACGACAACTTCCTGTTTTTTTTCTTCTATATCAGTTACTCATATCTCTTGTACAGACTGTTTTACAAGGACATTGACAGATGATACTAACATTAGGCATTCATTATTGCATCTAAATTATTTCACTTGCATTAGGTTTAGAAATTTATTCTCTGGTTAACAGATTTCAAATGTTCAATTAATTTGTAGTATGACAGTAAGGTATATAAGAAGTTATTTAATTATGCTTGGGCTATTATATTGACTATTGAGGTTTAGTGATGATATGGAATTTGAATTTTATATAAATTTACACTATGTGGTTGGGGCATTTTGCATAGTAAATATGGTTACTACTCCTATATATCATATTATTTGATTGGTATTCGATTTCTGATTATTTCTCTAGGAATATGATTATCATATCTCAATTTGGCTTTAGGTAGGGTGCCCCGCTAAAAGAACGGGATTCTTCCAGGAAGCATCCCGTGCACAGAGCTTGGTCTACATATATATTAAATTATAAACCATTCATTCTGTATGTGCACGAAAATTTATTTCAATATTTCAATCAAAGTATCATCCTGAATAAAAATGAATACGAAAACAAAATTTACGAAACCTAATAAAACATTACTGAACGCCATTACTGAACACAAAAGAATAAATAATAATAAATCAAAACAAATATCAACAAAATATAACATAATAGCGAAATAACGACAAAAATAACAACAAAACATATAATATATGAAGAATGATTCAGAATCGTAAAATATCAAATTTGATCCTTCATCAAAACAAGAAAACAACAATTTCAAGAAAACAACAATTTTATTTAGTATCAATTAAAGCAGACAAAAATATATTTCATATATATATATAACTAGCACGAACTTTAGATCAGATATCTTAGGGGACTTGGAGTAGCAAAAGATTGACTAGAAGGTATATACCTTTTACAAAGATACGTCGAGAAGAATCCAGGGTGATACAGGATCGGAGAGTGCAGACCAAAAACAAAAAAAAACAAATTTTTAAATTTACAGAAAAAATAATTTACGGAAAAAAATGTTTAGGATTACAGAAAAGGGCAATTAAATAAAAATATTAGTTGTTAAAACCTCCCAAAATTTAAATTTATACGGATATTAAGCCCTCTACGAACTTTTTAACATATTTATTTAATCATGTCCCGAAAAAATTAGAGTTGTAGCTTCGAAATACAAAGTATATAATAAGGAGTTTATTCAATACGTATAAGGTAACCCCGTTGACCACCCCGTTATAAACATTGTGAGAATTTAATCGTTGTGAGGCTGCCCAATTAAAATGTCGTGCGCGCGTGTCACAGTTAGTGTCACACAATCAATTTTGCTAATAAGATACAAAAAATGCATGATAACTTTGTCATTTCTAATCCGTTTCACATCATATTTTTAGATCAGATGGAATATTTATGCGCATGATTTGATAATTTACCGTCTCTGCAAAATTAGGCGTCGAGCATGTTCACAGTTAATTCACCTAATCATGTGCTTTCGCGCCACTGCATGCGCTTTTGTTTTGCACGCGGGAGGCTGGCGAGCGCCACTGCTTAAGCGCAAGGGCTTTGGATAGAGCTAGCAATGTTCACAAAATAAAATATAAATGTTTTAATATTGAATGGGTACGGTGTGGTCTAAAATATTTGAACTTTCAAATTTTGGCAACCCGCAACGGAATCTTTAAACAAGTAGGTACAGTATGCAATCTGCAAAGCAACAACTAGACTCGATCGCGATGTATGCTGTATGTAATTAAAACTGAAATTTAAGTTACCCTAATAGTAGAGGCTCTTACGGGCATTGTCTGCATGATACGCTAGGGACCCCAGATACACCTTACTAGACGTATTTTTGACCGTAGAATCGTTTAAAAGTAGTTTCAAGATGATTGGACTGAGTTAGTGCGGTCAAAATCGCAAAAACCCGATTTTTGGGCCAAAAAAAGGCCAAAAAACCATGTTTTTTGATATTTTGAGCAAGTTAATTTTGTTGGCATGTCGGCAAAATTTGCACAAAGATAGCTAAAAGACAGCCGCACAAGATGGTATAAAAATAAAACAAATCCCTCTATTTTAGCGCAGGTAAAAATCCAAAAAAGTGGTAAAAATTTTGACTTTTTTGCTTGAAGTTTGAATAATTTTTTGCAGTTGTATTAAATCAACCCAAAAATAGTCACATCGTGTTTGCCTAAATTTTTCCTTTCTGAGAAGTACCCACATCATATACTTTATCGAAGTTTGAATATTGTCACTCCGCAAGCGTTTTTGCCAAATTTTAGACGCGCAAAAGCATTTAGTTGTTATCAATTGGCACCCATGCGTTCATCATAAATTTCAAACAGCTATAACTCAGCGAGATTATGTCCGTTCTAGCTCATATTTTCACACCAAATAGAAAATAATGTGATCTTATTGCTGACAAAATATGATTATGATTACTCTATTTGCCTTAGAATAATATACTGCCAAAGTTTAAAACGCGCATTGGTATAGCATGTGACTAATAAAGCCAAATTTATACTTCTTAACATATTATCGATCCTTCATCATACTATTGTGTCTAATTAGCGGTTAGGTCTCTAAACTCTTAGCAGAATACACGTATTTTTGCCCGTAAGAGCCTCTACTATAAACTAGTTGCCTCACGTTGTATGCACACCGCGCACGAATGTGCGGCTGTATCTATATCATGGCTTTCATTAAATGAAATGACAATGAGGGTCACTACGTCAGACGTGATACAATCAACAATTTACCTGGAGACCACAGTGCACAGGCTCGCTTTGCCTCTATCCAGAGCCCTTGCGCTTACTGGGCCGCGCTCAGCCTGTCATTCCGCCAAATCTTTATTCATATTATATAATGTTTATGAACATAATAGCCTGGGGTCCCCAGGTAACCCTTGCGCTTGCAGTGGCGCGCGCCCGCCTCCCGGCCACACTCCACTTACTGGGCCGCGCTCAGCCTGTTATTCCGCCGAATCTCTATTCCCCAGGTAACACACCACAGGAGGCGAGGACTATAGTGCAAAGAAACTGCTGCTCATCAATTGGAAAGAAGTGACATCGCGTTTAATTGACGATGTCAATTCATCGCAGCTCGGTGCGGCATCCCGCTACAAAAGTGACGTATACGCTACAAGAGCCGCGCTGAGTTGTGAGTTAGATTATCATATTTAATTATTGGGTGGTAAAATCGAGCGATGCTTAATTGACGACATGTCAATTCATCTCAGCTCGGCGAGGCACAGTATAGCGCATTTCGCCGATCTAGTTGCTCTAACCAGAGCCCTCTCGCTTGCAGTAGCGCGCGACCGCCGTAGGCGGCAAAGAACTTGTGAAACAAGCGCGTCACGCAGTACGCGTATACACATGGATATGTGAACCGATCTAGCGAGAAGCATAATTGAGTGCACGGCGCGGCACAGTCTAGTAACGCATCGCGCTACAAAGCGATGCGAGTGTCATGACTACCTCTGAATCCTCGATTCATCCTTGTCATACGTTGTATGACCCGCCGCGCACGAAGTGCGCGGCTCCCCCTGTATCGTCAGGACGATAAAGGACCATAGTGAAACGACCGTGGGGGTCGCAACATGATACAAATTCATCCAACAGTAATTGGTAATATAATTTAGTTATTGCCGTATGTGGTTTCCGACTTCTAATGTAAATTTCTTTTTTGCAATTCTTTCAATTTTGCCTAGGTCTAACTGTGAACTGGTGTGCTATTATATTAGTTCAGACTGCCATTGTATTGCTCTTTTATGATATTAAACGATTATTCTGTGGTTCATACTTACATTTTAGTTTTATATATATACCCGTCTGTTGTCATACGTTGTATGACCCGCCTGTATCGTAGAAACTCTATAGTGAAACGACGATGGGGTCACGACGTGATACAAACACAACTATATATAATGACAAAATAGTCTGAGGTCCCGGCCCCAGGTAATTCCTTATATCACGCCGTGACCCCCATTATCGTTTCACTTAATTGTTAATTGTTTATAATGCAATGCATGTGCATGATGTTTCTACGATACTGGAGAGCCGCGCGGCGCACTCGTGTGCATGTGCAGCGGGTCATACAACGTATGACCAGTAATTCCTGGAATAAGAATAAGATCGTTCGATCTGCGAAAGACCTTCCAATAGGACTTTAAAAATTGTCCGAAAAGCTTGGTGGATATTATAATCGGAGTTGGTATAAGTGATAAAAATTAAATTAGGGCAAAATTTAAGACGTTGCTTTGAGCTGTATTTTGTAGCGCGATGTACTACTAGACTGAGCCGGCCGCGCATCAAACAATTCTTCTCTTTGTGCGTGGCGCGGCAAAGTAACGCATCGCGCTACAAGTACAAACTGAATGCTTAATATTGTCATACGTTGTATGACCCGCCACGCACGAGTGCGCGGCTCCCCCTGTATCGTTCAAACTCTACACCCCTGTATCGTTCAAACTCTCACTATAGTGAAACGACCGTCACGATGTGATACAAGCTTAATTATAATGTAAATGAAACAAAAGTACAGTTTATTCAATGTTATAACTATTAATTAGATTTGACATAAATCTTCCAGAGCTGATTAATTGTTGCAACATTGAACATGTAAAAATAATATTCTGAAGAGCGAAGCCTAACCTTGCGAAGTAACCCAAAAAAACCCGCGCATACAAGTAACGCCAACAAGCGTACCGGTACACTATAATCATGTTCGCGAACATATTGTATAATTGTATGTCAAATCGCAAACTATTTAATTAAGCGTGCTATGCAGTCTAGTCGCTATGCAGTCGCTATGCAGTCGCTATGCAGTCGCTGAAACATGAGCACCGCTCCAAATATACGATTATTTGCCTTGGTATAGTTGATAGTGAACACTATGAGGATATTGTTAACAGAATATTGGAGATTAAAAGTAAACCAAATCAGTTCAATTTTCAACGACCAAAATTTAAAAACTCCCCTTTCATATTTAATGATGTTTTAATCTGACGTTTTCTTTCTCATATGAAATACATCTTTTCATACCACAATTTGAATTAAGCCATAACAACAATGTCAATATCAGCTTATGAAGGTTTTCGGTTCCCAAAATCCGATTACAATAGTACAAATAGACCCAGAAATTAGTATCAATTCCTCATGCTAGAGCACGTGACTATCTGCTAGAACACGTGACTATCTGTTATATAAACAGGATGCATTCTGCATCTTCTGCCGGTAGTTGCCATGGTTATCAGTCCTCATCATCGCTGTTTACGATACCCTCCGTATCGTCATCCTCCTCATCAGAATAGTCCGGCTCACCTTGCACCGTTCTCATCTCTGAGAGATTGGATAGTGAGGGTCACATGGGAAATTACTAGTAATATTTTAAGTACAATACTGTCACACGGCAAATATCTTATTTACATCTCCAGCATTTGGTTGAATTCCATTGTCAAAAAGGTAATCATTGGTAAATGCTTAAATGGTTTATACGAATGATGACTTACTTGGATCCTCAATGTAGACTGGAGGAGTTGAACGTTCACTGCCACACCCAGAGGCAGGACTAGCACGAGGTTCTCGAGCGTTTTGATGGTTCTCCGGCAACCACAGCACCGACACACCCCACTTTCGGTGAACTGGCGACACCACTTCTCTCTCCTGGAGACGAGACGTTAGTTATCAGCTGGAAACTATATAGGTTTACGGTTAGGTCGAAATTTTACTGAACATTTTGCCAATTCACTTGATTTGGAAAATGGCAACAGTTAGGCTCGGAAATAAACTTTGGGATGATTGTAAAAAACTGTAAAGATTGTTGAGGTGATTGATTGCAAATGGACAAATTACATGAACAAACTTGAAACTATTCTGGGAGAATGATATGGACCTGTACTGTAACCTAATTTAATTGGAGGAAAATTTACCAGTAATATTGACTGTAGTCCGTATCATAAACACTTCGGTAGTCAGATCGTTAGGAAAAGTTCTGTTTATTCTGTCTAAATGTCAAAATCAGTGTCTGGTTTCAGTCTGTTTTAACAGTGCATACAAATTAAGGTAATTAGTGACCAGTAATAGTAGTTATGGGGTGTTCAGTTATTACTAATCATTTGTCATTAATACTTGTTTGTGTTTTGAATTCGTGATACTTTCGCAACTAGATTAAGCAGCGGCATTACCATTACTGATTACTATCAGTTTGAATCCTGTTAGGTACTTTTTAATTTATATTAATTTGATCATATTTCCATAAATGTGATGATTTAACAGTTTAATGATTTAAACAGTTTTACGAAAGGACCGAAGATATAATTTGGTAATGGTTGAAGCAGTATTGCTATACAGTATACACTGTTTTATGTCTATCAACTCTAACCGTTCGATCAGCAGCGTTTTTACGGAGTGTGAATATCTGACACGGAACGAAATTATGATATGCAAACATTTCGTTAATAGTGTATGTTAAAACGTGACCGTGTTTGTTCTCAGCTATTACTGTTAGTGAAACAATTGCTAAACTAGATAAAAGTATATCCGTCTAAACTATATATAATTGTTACGATAATTTTATTGTGAAAGTAAAACCTTACGTACATTGTTCACCTTTGTTACTTGTCTTTTGTTTTTACCAGAATATTCTGCTTTACTTCGAATATATTAACTACGAAGTACGTTTTCTGTCTATAAAGTTGAACAGTAGATCTTCGGACTTCGAAACTTAGGAATCAAATCAAATTATAAATTTGTCAAAAAATCTTATTCTTGTTGCTTTCAAATTCTTATAATATTGATTTGACCAATTTACATTACTTTTTGTCACTATTTAGCCAGACCATGATTACAGAGCACTCAACGTCTAAAGGTTTCAACGTACACATTAGGACTGTACAAATAAAAGTCGATGATGTCCAATGACGTTCGAAGCTATGCAGTGTTCGCCTATGAACTGTGATAATATCCACAATCTTAAAATGATGGATAGATTTAATCAGGACAGTTAGGCAGTGACGTTTGCTGACATTACGTATGATACAGCAATTTTAAAATGCTGGCCCATGGATCATGTTTATAATATGATTATATGGTTAGTTATAGAACTGCTGACCTAACGAGAGCCGAAGGCACGAGTTTTGTCAGCAGTTTTATAATTTACTTACAGCACGGCTCAGGTTCACGGTGATACTTACCGTTTACGACCAAAAATTTGAAATTTGGAGTTAACTAAGAGGTCGAAAATACCGAAAAACTGATTTTTCACACCTTCAAAAGTGTTCATTGTCCAATGAGAGGCCTGACAGGTAGCGTGCATGACATCACGTATCACGTGGCGATTTCTTAACATATCAATGGATGCTTGGTGTTGTTCATGTGACCTCCGTTATAAACGTACTGTATTTTCATAAGTATCAATGACAGGCGAGCTCCAGGTTGAAGCGTGGAAGGAAGTAAAAAAGTGCAAGGAAGTAAAAAAAACACTGATACACCAGGGTGTATCAGCCCTCTAAATGGCTAAGAACTATCACGGGTCATACCACGTGACAGTACCTCGTGACTACGTCACTCAGATACCACGTTTATAGACACACTGGAGCCGTTCTGTAAGGGATTTTATGGATGCTTGTATGAGTATCATGGGGGTTGTCAAGGGAAAGCAGTAGGTATATATAATCATAGTTCCTTAGTCCAGTCTAGTAAACAGTCTGTTGGTAATGGCAATTCTACCGAACAACTCTGAGTTGTGACAGTAAGAAATATTTGTGACGTAGTTTAGTTGTCAGAGTGTTGATGCAGAAAGGTCTGATTACATTGAAGCAGAATTTTAAAACTCCGAGATCGATCCAATTTTTGGATTTTAACGAAATTTCGAAATCTTTTCGGAATGGAAATATAGTATTATCCTTTTTAACAGATCGTTTGTAATTTAATTATCGATTTAGGCGGGTTTTTGCTGATTTGGTTGAAAATATCCCAGCGTTTTTCTTTTTTGTCTCATGATAGCTGAAGTAGTCTCACTCGTTTTAAAATTTAGTAGATTCGTCACTCGGAGCACAAATTGATAATTTAAAACGTGCAAAGCGAGCTGATTGCTGAGGTACTAGGAGGCGCAAAATATCTTTTTTATCTTTATTAATAATTGTTTTATAGTAGTATATAGTATTCATTATATGTATCAGCTCATCATGCATGTTATATTTTGATATCATGGACAAATATCATAATATCACGGACTGATTAAGTTCAAACTTCATACATTCTGTTTAATCGTGGGACTTTACAAGCTTTCCGATAACAAGCACAGCCCAACTGTGTGCTACTATCAAGCAAGCCCTACCATTAAAGTCACCAAATAAAACAGCTATTGTTGCTTTATCAAAGAAGGGTAGTACTATTACGGGTAATATGTATGTGACTAACACTGAAAATGCGAAGGTTTTGTTTGTTGCTGCTTAGCTGTTCCGTTTTGTTGCTCATGTTTCCGTAGTCATTATTTTTGCATCCTAATCCAAAAAATGAAATACATGTTAACATTTTACACCTTGATCAAGTTTGTTGTGAAAAACTAAATAGAAAGAAGGAAAAGATAAATGAGCATAAATCCAATCTCGTAGGTCTTCCCTGAATCAGTGTACCTCGATGAAAAATGAGGATTCGTTTCTTGCTGCTTCTCACCATGGTACTGCAATCACTGTATTCTACAGAAGTTACAATAGAAGCAAATAAACTTTTTCAGAACACTCTCAACAGATGGGGAATCAGACCGATCAATGATGCTGACAGAAGGTTAATGAAAGCTTATGATTGTACGAATTATTTCTACAGTTTCCTAAAATTTGGTAATTGGTTAAGAACGCTATAGAACTGATTTTATGGTTGATAGTCTTTAATTCTTCGTTAGAAAACTTCTCATGGCAATCAATTATTAGCTAACCCCACCATTTTCACTAAGTCAGCGTTGGGGAAGATTCATATCATCTAAAACGACTGTAGATGAAAATACAGAGGGAGTGATGTTGGAAAGTTTAAACAGACTGACTGTCCTTGTGCGTCTACAAGCATATGAATGACAATATATTTTCGATGCAGAACAATTATTACTTATTAACTTATCAAATATGCTTATGATAACGAAGGAGAAGGTTTAATTAACTTAAATTTAAGTGTATTGAGCAAAATCGATTGACTTTGATATAACGGTTAATTTGAATAACGGATATTTGTATCAGAAGTGCAACCTGCAAACAATAACTATTAACTAAACACCAGAACGATGAAGAGTACGCAACACGGACAGCACCTTACAATTTGGGACTGAATATAACTGATATCATACCAAAGACAACCTTATCTTCACCACCACAACACCACATTTCAAAGCGATCAACTGAAACTACTTTCGATTATTGGGAGAAAACTGTTGGATTACACACGCCAGGAGAACAGGCCTCCTGCGGGTCCTGCTGGAGCTTTCCCAATGTGAGTTCAAACACGGTGTGCCTCAAGCAGAAATCATGGGTTCATCTTACTATTTACTCTATTACATTAAATAATATCAAATTTAAAGGCGTGTAATACCAGAACTCTATGTTTAGCGCTCTGAACTTCAACAGTTTAAATAAAGTAACAATTTATTCAAAGTCGTAACTTTCTATCTGCTTCACAAACCCCTGAAAAACCACATTTCACGACTGTTTCCAGACGTGTACAATAGAAGCACTGTACAAGAAGCTGACAGGAGAGTTCGCTAAGTTCTCTGAGCAGTACTTTGTAGACTGCACGTTCTCCTACTCTGGATGCGCAGGAGGAACAACTAATGATGGGTACAAGATGACCAAGTTCAGACAGTTCATGTTATACGCCTCTGATCACCCCTACACTGCTGATTGTACGTGATATGTGCCTAAAATGTGTCTTTTTGTCGATATCAACTGCATCAAGATTTAAAACTAACAAACATTTATGTTACTCTTACCTGATAACTTCATAGATCATTTAAAAACTCAGTTCGAAATAACTTTCAGATGAACCATGTACCTACACTTCTGATATTGAAACTGGGACCAATAACCGCATGACCAAGATATGGTTTACGGACTGGTATCCGGCAGGAAATAACGAGGCCAGTGTTCTCGCCGCCCTCAATGTCTCACCAGTATCTATCGGAGTTTACATCAGCAACAACATTTTCTCCTACTCCGGAGGTAAAATAGTAAGATTTTCTCCTACTCCGGAGGTAAAATAGTAAGATTTTCTCCTACTCCGGAGGTAAAATAGTAAGATTTTCTCCTACTCCGGAGGTAAAATAGTAAGATTTTCTGGCGTTTGTGTCTCAGCGACTGAAATCACGATCAGGCTGATGCGTCCTATATTGTCTGATAGTGATAGAATATTGCAACAATCTAATAACCGGTTTATTGAAAACCATTTGTAAACTTGTCGGTCCTGCAGGAACCTGGTCAGACAGTCTCTGTGCAAGTGAGCCCCTCCTTCATGCTATGTTGCTTGTAGGTTACACCCCTACTACCATTCGAGTCAAGAACAGGTAGGGTCCACAAGTTTTACAAGTATGACAAGAGTTGCAAGTGTGACTAGTTTTACAACGTGAGCAATCTTCACACACCTACTGCATCTGCACACCTTACTTAACTGTTTAACTCTTTACAGCTACGGAACGGACTGGGGTGATTATGGTTATATCAACCTGGCACGAGACGGAAATCTGGATTCTTGCAATTACTGGAATGAGGCATACTACATGACCGCCATCACCAGAAGAGGTACATTAATGTGTCTTATTGTGGGGAGCAGTGCTCCTTTTACAAGGACCACCCACTTTCTTGCAACCTTTTGAATAGTTCCAGTTTAAGGAAATATCAGCAGTTGATGCCTACATCTCGACAGATTTTGAGTACGAGTTTTGTCTGGACGCCAAGTTGGGGACTAAAGGTGACTGTCAGGCATCCTGTCAAGCTATGGGTACGGGTTGGGACCTGGCTGTTATCCCTACCCAGAAACATAACCAGGAGGTAAAATAGAACCTTATATTATCAGTTACTATGATAGCAAAATACAAATTGACTGGATATGTAGGCATTTACCCCGCCAGGTTGTGGAGAAGGTTGAAGCTCTGGTTCCGGGTGTAAAGAGCAATGATAAGTTCAATTTCATATGGATCGGTATAGAGTGAGTCATTTCTTATAATATTCACTTTCTTAAGGTTGACAATCCGAAAAACAGGCGTGAATCTGCCAGTTAATTTAATCAAATAAAGACAACAACACAATATCAAACCCCAGGGACCCTTTAAAAGACGAACAGTACAACTGGGTAGATAACTACACACCAGTTAACTACGTCAACTTCACATCGTCAAGTTTCACTGGCGGCAAGTATGGAATGGTGAACAAAAACAGCGGTGTTTGGACCTTCAAGAACTCGCTAACTTATGTAGCAAGAGGGATGTGCAGCAGAGCAAGTCAGTGAAACCCCTCCACCAAATATCTAGTAGGGGGGGGGGATGCAGTAAAACCCCTCCACCAAATATCTAGTAGGGAGGGATGCAACAAATTTTTAGTGAGAAATATAACAGGAGGACTCCTGCAGTACTGCCCGGTTAAAATTTTAAAGATCAGAGACCATGACCTAAGAACTAAAATTAATCCACATTTTCAGCTACCTGCTGGGATATCAGCACGGCAGTAGATAACGGAGCGATAACATTCGACAACACCGCCCGAACATACGGTACAATAGCCACAGCAACATGTAACTCTGGTTACACCCTGGAGGGAGCCAATACTATGACCTGTAATGCGGGGGTGTGGGACCAGGATCTACCTACTTGTAGCTGTACAGAGGAGGGTGGCTGCTCAGGTACGGGAACTATGTTAAACTATTCACCCCTCGATATAGAAGGAGTTTAGGGGTTTTGGTGAGCAAGTTTGGTGCGAGAGGTATAAGAACTTAAAATAACATAGAGCAGCGAGGACTATTACACTTATGTATATTGTATGACTAGATACTTTTTTTTCAGATTCAGCACCGTCACAAGTACAGTGCACGGCAATAACGGTAGATAACGCTCAGATAACAGGTGCAACACAGCCAACCAGTTCAGGACAAACAATAACTGTTACCTGTAACAATGGTTACACTATAAGTGGAAACAACGAGTTGACTTGTGACGGGACGGATTTTGGAACTTTGCCAACATGCGACATCCAACAGTGTGCTACTGTGACAATAGACAATGCGCAGATAACTCCATCTCAACCGGTAAACTTTGATGTCACTATCACCATCACCTGTAACAATGGATACAGTCTGAGTAGTGGGAATGGTGAGCTTACTTGTGATGGGACGGATTTTGGAACTATGCCAATATGTCAACAGCAGCAGTGCACAGCAATAACGGTGGATAACGGCTCAATAACACCAACACAGCCAGTAAACTCAGGGACAGATATCACCATCACTTGTAACCAAGGGTTTGAGATATCAGGTTCCGCGACCCTGACTTGTTCTGGAACTAGTTTCAGCGGCTCTTCTCCAACTTGCAACCCTGTGTCTGCTAGCACTTGTACTACTGTAACAGTAGATAACACTCAGATAACAGGTGCAACACAGCCAGCCAGTTCAGGACAAACAATAACTGTTACCTGTAACAATGGTTACACTATAAGTGGAAACAGCGAGTTGACTTGTGACGGGACGGATTTTGGAACTTTGCCAACATGTCAGATCCAGCAATGTTCCCCTATCACTGTAGATAACGGAGAAATAACCCCAAGCCAGCCGGTTAATCACGGGGTTACAATCACAGTTACTTGCAACAACGGTTACCTGATAAAGGGGGATACCGAGCTGATCTGCCAAAGTACAACATTTAACGTGGATACCCCGACCTGTACCCTGCCTGCATGTCCCGTCATAACGGTAGATAACGCAGAGATAACGGGGGCTAGTCAGCCAGCCACATCAGGCCAGGTCATCACCGTGTCCTGTTCCTCTGGGTTTGTAATAGAGGGGTCTTCTACTTTGACTTGTACTGGGACTAGTTTTAACAATGATGCCCCTGAATGCAACACGTGCAACGAGCTCAAGGTGAATACTGAATATTTCCATGCCTATGTAGAATTATTATCAGCAGATAACGCTAAGAAGTAATTATTCAGATTTAAGGGGGCCGGGGGGGGGGGGGGGGGGGGGTCTTCATCAAAATTCTCTCGAAATTGACTTTTTAGTTGTTTCTGATAGAGGGGAGTGATATCTATTAGCTGCTTTTGGTCCCATGGAAAAATATTGTTCCTAGCCAAAATTGTCGCCGGTCAAAGTCACTCAAAGGTCAGTGCTTATGTGTAATTGTATTGCGCCAGCGATTTTCAATCGCGCGCCCTGAAAATCGAGTCTAAAAATCTATCTTCTACATTTTTTGAGCAATCACCCTGAAACTTTCAGGATATGTTCTAGGGATTATTTAGAAGAGATCTGTCGAGCCGAATTTTAAGATAGGCATCCAAACATTTTTTATTCGATTTTGAAAATGTTGGACCTGGAAAAATCGTCAAAAAATGAAGTCCAAGATTTTGAAAATCGAATAAAAAATTTTCTGAAGCCCATCATAAAATTCGGCTCGACAGATCTCTTCTAAATGATCCCTAAAACATATCCTGGAAGTTTCAGGGTGATTGCTCAAAAAATGTAGGAGAAGATAGATTTTAAGACTCGATTTTCAGGGCGCGCGATTGAAAATCGCTAGCGCAATACAATTACACATAAGCGCTGACCTTTGACCGGCGATAATTTTGGCTAGGAACAATATTTTTCCATGGGACCAAAAGCAGCTAATAGATATCACTCCCCTCTATCAGAAACATTTAAAAAGTAAATTTCGAGAGAATTTTGATTAAGACCCCCCCGGCCCCCGGCCCCGGCCCCTTAAGATCTTCTGATGGTTTCCATACATCAAGGATCACATTAATACAATGGATAATAGTACAGAACCTCTAAAGCTCTAACTGAAGGTATCATCATTACCAGGTACCGAATGCTATCCTGACTTCTGGAGGGGAGAACACTATAACGGTAACCTGTATAAACAACGGCTACGAACTCATTGGTCAGAACAGTATCACGTGTGAGATATGTATGGATAGCTACGAGACTGTCATGTGCAAAGTGGCCAGTCTTGAGGAGGGGGATGTCCCTGAGTGCAGGCTCAGATCAGGTAACAGTTCTAATTTTGATTTGTAGTTTTAGAAGGAACAGTGTCTTAGGGTCAGAGATTCTACATGTTCATTAAGTTCTGACTTCAGTACTGATCTTGCTGGTATAAAGAGGGGAATTCATGAATACACATGCTTTACAAGCTGTTGAAGCCTTAAGAATACTCTTGTAACAGGGTCGTGTCCGGGAGGGAGCTACTACACGGAGGAGGGGTGTGAAACTTGTCCCACTTCCCACTGGATGGCCGGAGGGGACAATGCTGACAGTGGAACAAATGGTCAGTTTCAACCACCCTACCTTCTCATCACACTCAACTCTTCCATTCAAGTCAACCTTAATGCCCTTATCGACATTGATATAATTGAATTAAATGGAAAAAGGATCACTTCACAATTTAAAAATATTCGCAATGAAAGATTATTTGGAAATAAGATTTAATAATGCGTTCACAGAGGAGTCCTGCTATTAACACTTTGTATTTCAGGTTGTAACACGTGTCCAGGTGTAAAGACGTCTAGCGAAGGTTCCACCAGTGAGTCAGACTGTCACTACAACACCTGCTCTTGTAAGATGATAGAAACAGGGGGAGGCGGTAAATTCAAGACATCTTGCGCTTGTTTATAGAGTCGAGATAGAGTACCTCATGCTTTAAGTTCCTAGCCGTAAAAGTACCGCCTGAATACAACCCGTTTAACTACTGTGTGGATTGTGGACCAACCATCAGATGAAAAGTATAAACAGATCTGGCAGCAACCACCAGTATATCCAACAATATTCAACACAAAAGGAGATGAAAAATATCATTCTGTTATATTGGAATGTGATACTTCGTAGGAATTGCTTCCATCAGTGATGACTCTGTAGAATTAGATGACGTGAAACAGACTTTTGACAGTTGAACGTTTAATTTTAGTGCTATTTATTCCAGGTAGATTTTCAATAATTATCAATCATGCGTCAACATTTTGTCATTGCTAATCCATGTTTGATAAGAGTAATTCTCTAAACGTAGCTGCTGAGGATCCTCTGAGCCACAATCCATGATCCAGGGCATTTTAAATTTAATTATTGCAATCAATAACCAAAATTAAAATTACTAAAATTACGACCAAACATTTCAGTTTGGATCCATGGGAATATGGTTAAAAATTTTCAAACGAACGATTCAGGAGTACTAATTGTCAGGGCTTTATGAAAGTCTTAGTAATCAATGATTATTACAATTATGTAGTATGTACTTATATAATTATTACAAACACAGATTGAGAAACTTACGATTTCTCTGAAAGGGTTGTCTATTATTCCGTCATGTAGGTAGACCCAGAATGGGGTGAACAGGATGAAGTCGAATATAGAAATCTGAAATAGAGATGTATAGTAATATGTGTAGTAATGTAATCAATATTAATATTTGTAATAATTTACTCCCCTAAAAGGTTTCATTGTTTTTTGTTTTTCTAAGTACAGTAACCCAGCAATCTGACTAGCATATGGTTTCCGGCGTACTCATAGGATTATCAGAATGGTCGGTAAGCTTTGGTTAGATGGAACGTAACGACGACTATAGTACCATAATATGCTATGTCCATTAAAATTATATTAATCATGTATTAATTACATTATATTAATTATATATAATGTATTAATAATAACATATTATCACCATATTTTGCATCAATGTAAATAATAAATTATATTAATAGTCATAATATAACAACAAGGGTCAAGATTCATAACGGTATTGAAAATAAATTATTCCATGGTTTCATTGTTTTCATTGTCTTCCCCGAGGCACAACAAAATCTTGCTGGATTTATCATTTCTCATTGCCAGATTTTCATCCTGATAGCAAATCCGCTGAAAGTTTTCCCAATAGACTACAATGTGTGTTCCTTTTCTCGTTCCTTTTAGACTCATTTCACATGAACTACTGGCAGGCCCTAGTATGCATAAAATGGCATTATTTAAACCGGCCTTGAAACTGTGTTTGAAAATGATCTCTATTGCCAAATTGCTTCTAGGCCTTTTGCACGAGCAAATGCTCAAAAATCTTTGCCTCGGCAAACTGTACACAATTATATTATTATTATATATTTTAATTCTTTCAACACTACTATATAACAAATAATTTGAGGCTCTAATGATGTACTTTTACGAAGATTTCAAGCCTTACATTATGTGTTTCCCTTCGTGTCCAAAAGCATTACAATTATATTACTACTATTTTGCCAATAAAATTTTGACTTGATGCATCTTTCGGCCATCCTGCCACAACCTTCAACTTTTTTACAGGAATGTTCGACACTGAATGTTTTGCCCGGACTCCTTACTGCACAAAATTGTATAAGGGCTGCATATCAAACTTTTCTCAATAACAACGAATGACATGAAATTTTTGAAATTCCGGCTGTGGCGCACAACGCGTACTACATTATAAAAACTTTAAGATTTTGCCCCCCCAAGAAGAAAACTATTCCTATACCACTGGGTAGTGGGTAGCAAACTTTTATTTTTTTAATTCACACTTAGTAAAGATGATGATATTGGCTGGGAATCGACGGACCATTTTACCCAAGTTGTTTGGAAAAGTACTGCTCAGCTACTACTACCGATCAAGCCTGCCTGGTTTGCCAGTATCATGGGAAACATTGAGGGCAAAATACCTGACTGAGGGCAAAATACCTGACGAAGTTAGTCCTTTGAAGGGGCCTCTCTCAAGGTAGTAGGTAGGGTAAGGTTTCCATGGTTTCGATGCTTTAGATTTAAAATAAAGTTGTTCAACCCGACAAAGAATTTCAATAGGTGACAAATGAACTTTATTTAAAATGAAGCATTAATCGCATATTTTCAGTTGCATAACCAGACTTGTTTCTTAATGCAGGTAAACGTATAAATGGTAATCAATTAAACTTAAAGTTATTAAGCACATGTTACCTATAATATAATATATTATATAAAATATAAAGAGGCAGTAAAACTAGTGATGAATGGTGACTAGCCACCCCATGGCAACATTAAATATATTGTTTACTAGGCTATCAGGTCACAGGTGACCAAACCAGTTTTTTTACTCATAACTCCTCAGGGAAGCGTTTTAACCCTATGTCATGGGGTTGTTTCGGAATCAGCATAGAAAAAACACATAGAATGATCCTACTTCCAGATTCTCAGGGCCCAAGAGAAAATCCTTAGCGAATGCTTAATAGTGGGACCGAATTATTTGTTACATAGTAGTGTTGACAGTGTCAGTAATATAATAGTAAAAGTGCTCAGCATTACAATCAATATTTTGATTATTGGCACGGATGACTACATACTACAACTCACAAGGTAGTCTACTGACCGCCCTGAAGAATGTTTTACATTCTATTTATAGATTTTCAAGAAGATTTCTGTTCCCGAATTTCACGTCAATAACACACGATCAAGATAATCACATTTGGAGAGAAGATTGGTATTTGCACCAACTGCCAATGAATACATGGCATGGACAAGAGTTCAATTATTTTTGGGAATATTGCATGCATTTCATAGTATACGGAAATTGACGATTAGTTGATTAGTGGTGCAGTTATCAAAATTTATATTTTGGTAGCACTAATTGCATGGGTAGTAATGGTTTTTATTTTGTGAACGCATTATATGCCCAATCTAGTGATTTTATAGGAGCATATACCTACAACTATACCCACATTAAAATAACTATTACCTAATACTGAATACATACCATATCCTTAAATTCGTTATTCAAGTAAAATTTAACTTATTTGAAGCCTCCATAGTAAAATGGCATCCTGTAATGACGCACACCGCGATTTAATGCTCTAATGAAACTCATGTTAATTTGTGTTCATATTATTTCACTCGCCCGAAAAATTATCACGTGATTTGGGTTTTTGAAACTGGGCCAAAATAACTAATATGCTCCAAAAAAGTTTTAACACGGAAAAATCGTCAGTTGATTCTATTTAAAGGTGTAGAGCACATTTTCATCAGGTGTTAACAACCAAACTTTTCAAATATATTTATGCCATTAGGAAGCTCAAGAGCCCAACAGGGGTTACAAAATGACTGCATTGATCATATTATGGCAGGCGAATGATGGTTTGAAAGTGCTCAGACTGCAAATATCACAATTATATACAACTTAGGAAGAAATATATGACCTAAAACACCTACTTTTCGAACTATTAGCAAAAATTTGATTTTTGGCTTACCTTAAGAACGACAAATTTAGTCTATCATAAATTTAGTCAAAATGTTTACTAAAATTGTTTTAAACCATTTATTGAGACTAAATTTTTTGGCGACTAGTTTAAAAGCAGACCAAAATTTCAGTAGAGCATATTATATGACATGAATAATATTGAGCTTACATTGTTTATATTTAATATAATGTAATTGTCAGACGGGTTCTCATTACCGAATTGATAGATTAGATGGCATTTTATTATACAAATGATTTGTTTTATTTCTTTATTGCAACAAACCATTTAATAAACATGCCTGACGTTAAATTTTAAAGTATGACTTTATGCGCAAAATCGGGAAAAACTAGCTAAATAATGGAAAAATCAAATTAATGGATGGAAAATGGTCTCGAAAAGTCGAAAAATGTGACTAAAATCGTTGTAGACTAAAAATTTGCAAAATTTGTGACTCAAATTATGGTTACCAACATTTATTGTGAACCAAATTTATTGGCCTTAAGCTACATATTAGTTAATTTGGAGAAAATAAATATAGGTTGGTTATAAATTTAGATAAATTTAAGGTAACAGAGACTAGGTGCAAACTGTTTGCAATGGCCATAAATATCTACAACTTATGAAGCATCATATTATACCCTTAAATTCTAATTTTTCGAGTTGTCGTCGATATCATATAAGCAAAAAGGATGTATGCCCTTTTTGCGAAAAAAACATGCTTTAGTACTTGAACTGGTGGTACCCATCAGATCTACCTTTGAAGTTTGAAGTAATCAACCGTAAGCATTTGGAATAAACGTAATATGTGAACGACCCCTTGGGACAAAAACAAAAAGGCTTCAAACCTGACAGCAAATTCCTATAACTTGAACTGCTCGTTGCTTAATGAAATATTTAACTATTAATCTCAGCTCCGTCTGATAAGTAAAATATTCACGTTGAAGAATTTTTCTTAGCTTATTTCTAAGGGTGCGTGGCGGCTCGCGATAATCTTACGACATAAGATTCAGGGATCCAAATTTTCATTTTAGTACAGACAATTCTGACTTAAACCAGCTTACAAAAGATTTTTCAAATTGTTGAGTGTCACTAGATGACGCTTATGGCTGACCAACTTTTCCAATATTTTCCACGTGTATGCCCTAACTTAATGGTTATCTTGCAACAATCAAGCCTTAGAAAACTCTATGGTCGATGGGAGTATCCTTTTAGTAATGCTTCTTTCTAAAATTGAACCGATGGATTCCCAAAAGTAGCAACTTTTGGGAATCCATTGCTCGGTATTGACAGCACATTCCTATAACTTGAACGCTTCATCAAATATTTAACTGCTAATCTCAGTTCTTGTTTGTCGAATATATTTAGTTGTGAATATCGTAGAAGGCTGCAGATTCACCAAAAGTGTTTATAAACACTCTTGGTGAATCTGCAGCCTTCTATCTGCAGTCATTGATCATATAAATATGATCAATGACAAAACGTTTGCTGCTAAAATTGTCACGTCAGAGAATCAGTTAATTGGATAATTACCTAATTTGAACCAGTCAAAAAAGTTTAAGTTGTATATCATTCACGGTTTTTGCGGAAAGTTGTGTTAAAGTTGATGCCGTGGTGTCAGTAAAATGGTTCGGATATATATGGACAAGTTCATTTGAGTTTGAGGATATTGGTAAATATAAGTGACCCTATTAAAAAGCACAGTGTAGTTGACTTTGTCACACTATAAAATTACACAAACCCTTGATGGTTAGGATAATCGTCTCATCTTCTAGGCTAACTTTGTCACATAACGATATCTTAATCAGGTGATAAGATATCGCTTAAATACGGCCGGCACGGAAATGGTTGCATCGTCACACTATAAACATGTGACGGAGTAAATATGGACCCCTTGCTGCCGTTTTTGACCAAATTTTTGAATGTCCAGTTGATTGGATGGGTACATAATATGACCATTACCTACATATTTGCCGGCTTTTTTTGTTAGATGGTTTAGGTGCACTCAGGTTTATTCTGTCACACATTTAAGAAAATATGTGAAGAATGTTTAGGGCACCCTGGTAAGCAATGCTGAATAGTGTAGGTTTATTTGATGGCCTGGAAGTGCTAGGAATTGTTATTATATCATATAGTCGTAAGGAATTAAAACACACAAGGCATAAACAAGTTTACTTTGTCACATAATCTTGATGATATCTGAACATGTGTGAAATTTAACAAATAATGATATACCAGCTTAAACCCCTTATTTTACTTACTATGGATCAAACAACACTGCTAGTACCATGCACCAGTGACATAAATCAATATCGGGCGGTAATATGTTAACAGTGTCACAATTAAACTACCGCAACATGGTCAAAAATAGGGTAATTTCGTCAACAAAATTATTATAACTCTGTTAGCTCCTTGCTGGCAAAATAACTAGTATATCGAAATTTTTTTGATGATAAAGTTACATAGTATTCTAATATAGGTATAGTTCTTCATAATAGGGGCAAGACATGTTTACTTTGGCACATCAGTTATTATAAGAGTTAGGTAATCGTCATCAGATTAACAGATCTTTTTCGTAGTTTGGATCGATTAATATAGGCAATAAAGCATCCTATTCCAATTTTACACACTATCTTGATATTGTTGGGGCAGGGAAGTAAATTTTGTCAAATTTTCAGTGTCTTTGACAAATTAATCTAAAATTGTTAAACTTTAGCTCTGATGTTCTGGACAATATTCTACCAATCGTTTCTGAAAGAATCTTGAATTCTAATAGAGTTATAGATCTTCAAAATAGAGGCAAGACATGTTTACTTTGTCACATCAGTTATTATTAGAGTTAGGTAATCGTCATCACATTAACATATATTATGTTGTAGTTTGGATTGATTTATATAGGTAATAAAGCAGCCTATCACCTATGCTAATTTTTACACACTATCTTGAAATTATTGGGGCGGGAAAAGTTAATTTTGTCACATTTTTAGTGACTTTGACAAATTTAACCTAAAATTGTTAAACTTGAGCTCTGATGTTCTGGACAATATAATTTTACCAATTTTTTCTGAAAGAATGTTGAATTCTAATAGAGTTATAGAATATATAGATCTTCAAAATAGGGGCAAGACATGTTTATTTTGTCACATCAGTTATTATAAGAGTAATTATAGGAGACTATTTCATTTTATAATCATTATTTTAAACCTATTTACGATTTCGTATCATTTTTTGTGACAATGTAAACATCAACTTATCTTAACTTTCATCAACTACATTGTCATCATATAAAGTTTTCCCGCCTTTCAAACCAAAATCAGATATAAATAATTCGCCCAAAATTTAAAATTCCATATATTGTGACAGAATTAACCTCATTTCCCAATAACCAAGTGCCTGTATTAGCTAACTATTCAAAACAACATATTTTAGGGCTATGGTTGGTAGATCAACCATCAAATAATGAGTTAAAAGGGTTTTGAGGACACCTCACATTAGAATAGAGGGATGTATTCTGAGTGTGACAAAGTTACCCAAATATTGCCTTGTAACTGTTCGATCCGTGCCCTTTAACCAATGTTGCATCATAATTGTTAGATTGACCTAATCTACTATATTTCAGACCAAGGAATGATAATTAGACAACTGCAGTTAACTAAGTCATACAAAATGTGACATTTGAAACGTTATAGTGCCTAACAACAATAGATTTTCTTTCTGAGCAGTGCATATGGGATTATGGGTTACGTGGCTAATTTTCAGAACTTCTGAACGTGCTAGGTTAATAGATGTTAAAATTAATCCACTATCGTCGAAAACGCTATTATTTTTGTTTACCAATATCCTCAAACTCAAATGAACGTGTCCATATATATCGTCTCGCTTTATATATAGTAAGGATTTCATAATGGGCAGCAGAATTACTATTCGAGTAAACGGCGTACCATGGACTTGTATAGTGTCAACATGATAGTAGAACTTATGGTGTGGAAGACACTTAATACCCATGCGGCCATTTGACGTGCCTTGTTTGCCATAGCTTTGATTTGTAAAGTCCAGCTCAAGTAAGAACTGACTTTACGAATTTTATAGAAACACAGCCTATTCAGATTAGATACGATATCAAGATTTTACACACATCTTGAACAAGATATGAATAAACTTCGTGCAACATTTCAGCTTGATATATCATCAAATGATTGACTTATATCTCAACAAAACAAATTATGCTTTTCCGAAAAATGCACTTTAACCAGGAAATGTTCGATTACAGAAATAGGTATTCTCGAATAAAAATTTTTTGGTGTGGAAACGGTGCGCTAGATGGTCACTGAAATTCCTATGAGGTCATTTCGGTTGGCCGACATAATCCCCTGTTTTGGTGTAAACCCCTTTAATACCATGATCTGAGCACGATAATTAGGGGAATTCGTTCACGTCATAATTCATAAAGATTTTTCTATGGCAGTTCCAATGGCAGTTGAAATACTGCGGAAGCGTATTGAATATTAGCGTTGGAAGATGTATGGCTATATTCTCAAATCTCAGGAGCCAGGAGAACACCGGCCAGCTCAAGTGGCACTATCATTCGCTATTGAAAATGAATCTGACAATCTGTTTACTGGTAGTTAATGTCAGTTCAGTTACGTCAGGTCGAGGCTGGCACGATGACTACAGTCATTAAGTTTTTAATATTGTACTGCCTTATTATGAAACACCCTGAGTGTAATTTTCACAAATTCTCCGATCTATAAAAACGATTACTGTTCTAATTACACACCTGCAAAGCAATTACATAAATGTATAAAAGCTTTCATGTCCCTTACCTTGTTTCAACAGGATTTATATTTCTTATCACATACTAATATTTTGTACCCAGATAATATGTCGTTCAAGAAGAACGTAGAACTGAATGACTTCAGATGTGATGCTTCAGTACCCTTGACTGATTCTCTACACAAAGATAGTCGGGACAAGTTCGGACCCTGGGCACCCTGCCAAGGCTCAAAGATGCTAACTAGCGGACGGGGTCCTCTCACTCAAGCAGAAGCCATCGTCCAAATGAACAAGTTCTTCGATAACTATTACGCTGACTTGGAACTCTGTAACCCCATCTTAACAAAGAAAGTTAGAGTAACTCAGGCATTAAGTACGATGGAGGCCACCGGTGATTACGAGCACACTGCTGAGGAGCTCAGCTGGGCCGCTAAAACTGCCTGGAGGAACGCACCACGCTGCGTCGGGCGACACCTCTGGAAAACCTTGACAGTAGTTGATGCAAGAAAAGCATCATCTTGTCGAGACGTCTTCGATGCTATCTGCAGAAATCTGAGGGTGTCGTATAATGGGGGTCAGGTAAACCCATCTGCCATTGTATTTCGTCAACGATACATGGAAGCCAAAGATACACCGGGAATAAGAGTTTGGAATGGTGTTCTGCTCGCTTTCGCAGGTTTTGAAAAGGAAAATGGAGATGTTATTGGTGACCCTAAGAACGTTTATCTTGCCAACCTTGCCAAGAGTTTAGGCTGGAAGCCTATAAAGGAGGGTAACTTTGAGTTACTCCCCATCATAATTACGGATGCCAACCAAAATACGGAGGTATTTGAGATACCGAATGACATCAAAGGGTATGTAGTCGATATTACTCATCCCACAGAACCAGAAATTACTAAGCTGGGTCTACAATGGTATGCAATACCTTCAGTAAGCTCAATGATGTTAGAGGCAGGAGGTATCCAATATACCTGCAATCAAGTCGCCGGTTTCTTCCAGGACACTGAGATTTCCATAATGAATCTGCTGGCTGAGTCTAGATACAATCTTATGGAACCTATCGGGAGGGCGTTAAAGTTGGATGTTTCGAAGAACTCTACCTATTGGAAATGTACAGTGGCTACGGAACTGACAAGGGCAGTTTACCACAGCTTCAAACTTGCTCGCGTCTCCATGACGGATCACTTTACACTTTCAGACAGTTTCCACCTATTTATGAAGGAAGAAATGAGGACAAGAGGAGGGTGTCCTACAGATTGGCTCTGGGTGGTTCCACCAATGTCAGGTGGTCTGGTACCCACCTTCCATCAGGAGATGCTACGGTATACCCTGTCACCATCTTATGAATACCAGCCAGGCCCTGAGATGTTCTTCAGGAAACGTCGGAACAAAGTATCTTTTCGTGCGTTGGCTACAACGGTCATGAAATGCCTTGAAATGATGAGGGAACGTTTCAAAGAAAGAAAACGAGCGACCATAGTGTATGCCACTGAAGGGGGCACCGCTTTGAGTTATGCTAGGACCGCTGAGTCACTATTCGTCAAGGCGTTTAGCGCGTCTATCCTACCAATCACTTCAATTACCAATAAAGACGGCCTTCAGAAGTGCATTGATTGCTCTGACATCGTTATAGCCATTGCTTCTACTTTTGGAGAAGGAGGACCCCCTTCAATGGCGGAGGAATTCCACAGGAACCTCCTCAACAAATCCTATCGTTTTGACGGCATGCAGTTCGCAGTATTTGGACTGGGATCTTCTCAGTACATAGAAACTTTTGCAAATTTTGGAAAGACCCTTGATAGAGAAATGGAGATCGGGGGAGGAACGCGCATCACTGAAGTTGGATTCGGCGACGATCAAGGGAACCAAAAGCTAGAATTCGACAATTGGATTAAAGCATTGTATGAGAAATGCTGCAAGGATTACTTACCTTTGAGTGGACGGCCACAGGACACTGCTATTGAAGGTGCGACCTTAGACAAAGTTTACAGATGGCGGTACTCGGACAAGAGAAGCCTGAGTGAGTGTTTCCAAGAGGAAATAGGTCCTTCGGAGAAGATGTTCGAGTTTACGGTAAAAGCAAAGAAAAGCCTGTCTCCGGACGGTGCATCAGAGAAGTACTATTTGCTTACTCTATCTTATAACGCCGATCCCAAACGTGACATGCTACTCTTTCTTCCTGGACAACACATAGGAATCTTCCCTAAAAACTTATCATCTGTTAAAGAAAAGATCGTGCGACGTCTTTCTGATGTTCCTTTCAGCAGTATCCCGTTAATAATCGAAGAAAAGATAGCGATCCATGAGCCTTGGCGACAATGGAATCCCAATTATTCAGGACTTACCATAGACGAATTCTTTGGCAATGTGGCAGATCTCAAACAAATACCAGCTAATTTACATGAAACCCTTGAGAAAGACGACAAAAATGGTGAGAACGGACACAAAACAAGCAGGGAGGATCAATTAGAAGAATTGGACAGCGCTAAGTTCATCGGGCAAATACCCACAATCAAGAGACGACTTTTTAGTATAGCCTCGTGTCAAAATGATAGCCATACCCTGAACATTTTGATTGCCTTGCATGAATTCATGAGTGACGGTAAGATGGTCAGAGGATTGACCTCTGATTTCGTGAGACAAGCACCCCTGGGCGAGAAGATTCAGGGTTACCTCTCCAAAGGTGACGAGCAGATGAGGCTGCCACAGGACTCAAGACTCCCTTTGCTTCTTGTGTCAGTTGGATCTGGCTTTGCTCCCTTCATGTCGTTTATCGATGCCCGGGAACGAGCTGCCCGTACAGGCATTAAGACAGGACCCATCTTCATCTTCCACGGCTGCAGATACAAAGAACATGATTTCCTTAACTCACTGCTGGAGAGTGCTGCTACTGTGCTGAACATAAAGACCTTCAGAGCCTACTCAAGATCAGAGCCAGACTGCAAGAAACCCGGTCAAAATGGGAGAGTAGAGATAAAAATAGAGGCTAAGAAAATGTTCAAGAAGAGTCGTGTCCAAGATCTCGTAGCAGCCTACTCGAGAACAGAGCCTAACTTCAAGATGCCCGGTCAAAATTGGAAAGCAGTGAGAAAAACAGGTCTCACGACAGTGTTAGCAAAGAAGGGTTATGTCCAGGATCTCATAGCAGAGCAAGGAGAGGTTGTAGCTAGAGTGTCTCGGGATGGTGGTTACATGTACTCGTGTGGAGGAAGTGAGGCGGTGGGTGGAGTCAGGGGTCAGCTGGAGAAGACTCTACTGGAGCAAGGGTGTGTTTCGCTACAGGAGATGATGTGTCGCAAGCGGTACCAGGAGGAGAAATTCGGTTGAACATTTTACAAACTTGTAACAGTTTTGTTAAGATAAAGTATTGTTCGCTAGAACTGATGCAAATGTATGGAGGCCATGCGTGTATAATAACAGTTCATTACACGTAAAGCTACGCCTTTGCATGCGCATGAAAATTAACTTGACATACGTTACTGATTATGAAAAGGTGTTTTACAAAAACTAATAACCAAAATTATTGAAAAATCTTTTGTAATTACCGCATCAATATCTAGATATGCTAATTCTGAGAATAAAAACAGCTAACTGAACTATTTATTTTCTATCGATAAATTAAAATCCAATATGAAAATTTAACATTGCTTTGAAATATAAGATTGTTTAATCTATATTGTTCAATATATAACATTTTATACTCGTTGTTTTATTCTATATACCTTGCAAGACATATTTAAATGGTACGAAAGTCGGTGGTTTTTCGAAAAAAAAAACACCATATTTTCGGATTACCAAAATTTAGGGGTCAACATCATTATTTTCCCCAAATTATTTTTCACGTATTTTCCTTAGTTATGGCTTTATTGATTTACTATCAGCTGATCAAAATAGTAAGTTATAAATATGATTCATCAAACAATTAATGAACACTAAAAGATTTTTGTATTTAATTTTCTCAAATATTGGGTTTCATTTTTTGTAAAATAAGGAGATAAAAAAATCCCAAAATACCATGATTTGGGGATTTGTGGCGAAATATGGCGGTTTTCGATAAAAATTCCAATATTTTCGTTCCCAAATCATTTAGGTCACCGGAATTATGTAGAACATAAATATGTCTCATAAGGTACGTGAAAATTATAAGAAATAAAATTTGCACCGCAATTGTGTGAAAAATATTTGTAATTTACAATGTTTCAATTTCAAGGTAGTTCAACGTTCTTAATCTGTCTGATACTATCAATAATCTTGTCCTTGAAGGACGAGACGCAGTGTCTGGTACCCCGGCTCACATTCATAACTACACTTCTTCAGCTTCCTCTCTTGTTTTTTGCCCCTCTTCATCGCCCCCTTCAAAGCTCTCAGATAATATAAATAACCAGAATTACATCTGAGATTAAAGTTGAAACCTCTAGCTAAGCATTTCTTAAGTAATGCTTTACCACCTTTTGGAAATCGTTCTTCTTAACTATTGCATCTCATTGGTTCCTGAAGCCAGGACGTTTTGCTTGTTTATTTTTCTACCTAACGCGGGAGTTCCACGGGCGTATATTTTAGCGTTACGTAACAGAGACAATACTTTTAGACTTAAAGTACGTGAAGCGGTCGTCCTGCCGCCGTTCTAGTTTAAAGACAGATAAACTTTTCGTTATTTTCACCATATTCGCTACGGTCTACGTATCGCTATCAATAAAAGACCAAATCAACATAATATTAATCATCAATAATAATAAAAACAGGACAAAAGTTTTAGACGCACCTCGCCGACCTCGTCCGGGTCAAGTTCTTTAATTATTTTAACTCTTGTACTTTCGGGAACGCAAGCGGCCAACAGCTCTATCTCCATCGCTGTGGTAGTCAATTTTGGCCATCCGAACACGTCTCGTTCGCTTACGCAGTGAAATAATCTCTGGAGGGGTTTTACAGTAATTTCATTATCAGTAATATAATAATTATAAAGATCTTGTATATTTGTAATGTCATCTTCATAATTTAAAGATGAATTTTTAACTTCGAGTCAACGAGTGGCACTATAAGTATAGGGGGGGGGGTCCAAGGGGAACTTTGGGGAACTTTGGGGAACTTTTTTTTGGGGAACTTCAGGAAACCTGGGGACTTTCCCAAAGTTCCCCAAAATTCCCCAAAAGTTCCCCAAAAAAATTATCAGATTCTACCAATGATTGTAGGTATTGTTTTTTGTTCTTTTCGTTTATTTTATATATTTACATATCTATACGTGCTCTGCATAGAATTCATACAAAATTGAGCAGTAAACATAACTATATTTGAATTGCACCGAGCAATTATAAATGATGATACAGGAGTTGAACCAAATGTAATGCAAAAAATCAGATAGTAAGGCATAACTTACAGCTCTATTGAGTCATGCTGCAAGTATCAACAAGTAAGTTAAGATTTAATACCTTATAATAACATACATGTTAACATTAATGGGTATTCATGTATATTTTGGCTATTAATGTAAATTTTGAATAATTTTGGGGAATTTTGGGGAACTTTGGGGAAATTTTTTTGGGGAACTTCAGAAAGTTACCCAAAATTCCCCAAAAAAAATGTCATGCCAAAAAAATTATCATGCTGCAAGTATCAACAAATAAGTTAAGATTATACCTTATAATAACATACATGTTAACATTAATGGGCATTAATGTATATTTTGGGTATTAAAGTAAATTTTTAGTAATTTTGGGGAACTTTGGGGAGTTTTGGGGAACTTTTTTTGGGGAACTTCAGAAATCTTGGGGGACTTTCCCAAAGTTCCCCAAAGTTCCCCAAAGTTCCCCTTGGACCCCCCCCCCCCCCCCAAGTATAGTAATGTCAATGTCCCGAGCCTACTCGGGACATTGACAAATTAACCTTATTTTTAACGACCTTTGAAAGCTTTTGACGAAATATAATTGATAAAACATGGATTATTATAACTAAATATGATTATTATTATTCATTACGATTGAAGAGATCTGAAACTAACCTTTAACCTAGGCAGATCGTGTTCCAGCCTGGTCAGATCAATGCTGTCGAACATTGCCAGCGTCGCCGGGCTGAAATTTAGAACCATATATTAGAGTATTAGGTTTCATGATGACAATAATTCTGATGGGCTTATTTTTGGTCGCACCGAGAAATGGCGGAAAAGTTGAAAATCTTTCCGCCAAACTCATAAGCTCAAACAGATGATTGTAAGCAGCAATCTTCGACGGAAAGTTCAGATCCAACATTTCTTCCAAAAACACCACTCCCTTCTTTTTAAACCAGTCTTTTAAAATGTTAGCGTGTTTAGTGCGTGATTCACTTTTAGTACAGAAATGCATAATGAATGACAAATGCAGGATAGTTAAAATCTAAAATTGAAACATGATGAAGACTCAAGACTGTTAAAAGATGCGATTTGTGGTTTTATCAATTTTATTTACAGTGAGGAATTGTACGTGTCGAGTGTACGCAAATAGCATGCGACGAAAATTTGCTGACCATTGAATATCATTCGTTCATTACTCGGACAATTCGAATTTCAATAAATACAATTTTTGATTTAACCGGTTCAGAATAACTTAGTGCCAAGTTTCGTAAACCAAAATTCAACTTTAAATATTCCTATTCAGCGATTGCAATCTTGCGGTCACGACTTACTCTTTATGAGACATGTGATCGATCAGAGTGGCCATGACGGCAAACGTATGGAACGAAATTTTCTCTTTTTTGAGTCCGAGGAGTAACTCGATGAACTTCAGTTGTTTCCGTGTGATTTTGGTGCAGGATTTCATTTGAGACAGCGCCCTTTTCATCTCCTGAAAGATTTACATTAAGTTAATTTTGATATCAGGGACAACGGTGCTTTAAGAAAAGTAAACTATTTTAAACAGTCCTCGTTCACAAATAGCAGAATAGCGAATTACTAATCTTCTTTTCTTGAAACAAGAAGAAGGGATCTGCACGCAAACAAACACGGTCTTAAATCTCCAAGTTCACCCACTACACCAAATAACAAGAGAATACTCTGTGCTAACAATTAATACACAGTTAATAAACCTGGTGTGTAAGGTAGGGGTGCTCCTCCTCAGCCTGGTAATCTTTGAAGATCTTGTTAAGATAGTTTAGTCTCCCCTTATCCACTATAGTAAATCTCTGAAGGATCTCATCAACATTTTCGTCTCCGTTCAGTTCTTCACTGTTCTGGGATTCCATTACCTCTTCCATCTCCTTTTCCAGAGCCTTTTCAATTGCCCGCTGCTTCGCTCTGAGGGGGGAAATGTTAGAAATCATGCCAAAGTAGAAATAACGAGTCTGATTTCCCGGTGTTAGATGTTACACCATCATCTGTAAAAATGCAAGTCTGAACATTGCAGAAACCAGGATAACAGCTGGTATAAAATTACTACAACAACGTTGAATGAGGGAATAGCTGAAGATTACATCAGTAGTCAATACTATTGTCAGAAATATAGACCTAGCAGAATGGAAAATCAGCAGTTTAATATAGCCTGATGCTATCAGCGATCAGCAACAGTCACTCTACAGACTACAATTAGATTAACAGTACATATTTGTGATCTTAATTTAATATCTATGAGAACTAAAGATCACATGGTAAACACCAAATACAAGGTCGAGGTTCATTTTGGGCCATTATCTCTTTCGCTCTACTTCATAACAACTTACTTCTGCTTGAATTTGTTTGTTACTCTCTTCAAAAGGAAGGGTAACCCAATAGATAACATGACCCTTCTATCAAAATCATCATCCACAGCAGCGGATAGAGCCATTATAGTGGTACTATCAACTGTAGCCACACAATCTTACTTCAACGTATAGAGGAAAAGCAAGGAAAAAGTAAAACAAAAGAAACACCAGCTTGTATCGTGGGAAATGGATTTAGAAACACCAATGTCCAATATATGCCGTCTTGATTAAAAAGTTGTCGGTGATTGTGGCCGGATGCACCGATGCAGATCTCTTTGAGCGATGGAAGAGAGTAAAGCTGCATGCTTTTTCGCGTAATATTTGAAGATTTATGACTCAGTCACCACATTTTATCATTGTTGGTTAGTATCAAATTTAACTGTTAAATGTATCTATCCTGCTATCAGTGAATCAGAGCTACTTATTTCTGATGATCACGCAACAATTTTCATTGAAAATATTAAAACGCTCACCGTAAGAAAGCTTTTAATTTGCCCGGATAGAATGAATAATGATGATTAAAGTAAAGTATTAGTAACAATCTATTGTATGCAATCAGGTGGATTGTTAGAAGTATTACGAACATAGGTGAGAACTTACTGGTAGTGTTAAGTATCAGATGCTTTTAAAGCCAATGTCAATCTCAGAGGCAAGCACAGACGATCCACGATTTCCTGTTTTCAAAGCAATTGTCCACAAAAAGATATCGCAACAATATCTAAATCTGAAGAACGTATACTGCAGTCTCATTGATCATCGGAGCTCGCAAGAATAGAATAAAACAATTACACGAAACTGTTATCAGCCGCGGCGCTCTCACCACTTGGACACACTACATACATGATTTATGGCCACTTTTCTGACTAATGAAATAATAAGGCGGTCTGTTACTCCACCAATGAACACTCGCGGAGACCGTCCAGACACAATCAGATCGGAGCACGTGACTCAAGCAGAATCAGTAAAATGTAAATAAGTGCTTGTTAGTTCTGTATCGATACTTTAAATTGCGGAGATAAAAAGTCTGATGAACGGACAGATTGTATCGATAATAGAAGTGCGTCTGTAAAAAACAGGAAACTTCTTCAAACTGTTGAACGAACAGATTGTATAGAAGCGCTTCTGTAGAACAGTAAACTTCTTCAAACTGTTGAACGAACAGATTGTTTAGAAGTACGTCTGTAAAAAAACAGGAAACTTCTTCAAACTGGTGAACGGGCAGATCGTATAGAAGTACGTCTGTAAAAAACAGGAAACTTCTTCAAACTGTTGAACGAACAGATTGTTTAGAAGTACGTATGTAAAAAAAACAGGAAACTTCTTCAAACTGGTGAACGGGCAGATTGTATAGAAGCGCTTCTGTAGAACAGGAAACTTCTTTAAATCGATAAAAGACCAGCTTGTGCTGAAGCGCTTCTGTAGTACAGGAAACTTCTCAAAATCAATGAACGAACAGATTGTTTAGAAGCACATCTGTAAAACAGGAAACTTCTTCAAGCTCTGCTGCCAGGGTGCATGACTTGAACTCGGCTCTGCTTAAAATGTTATCAGCTTGTGCTTTAAGTGATTTTAATAGCATTGAAAATTGGTGGTCAAGATATAGATTGGGAACGTAAGAATTGCAGTAGTCACTGGTTGTCTATCAACAGCACAAAGAACAAGAAGATGCACTAGCTTGAGGGAGCTCAAAAGTGCAGAACAGACAGGTGTAAAATGTTCTACGGAGTCTTCTATTCCACATTTCTGTTCTATTTCTCTAAACTATATACAGAAGGCCAGGGCTATGAGGATGTCATGTCCTTACAAAGAGAAGGTGTACGAATTACCGCTCGCGCTCCTGTTTCTCCAACTGACGGTCCTCTTTCATCTGCCTGAGCATCTCTTCCTCCATAAAAGTAAGGCGTTTCGTACGAGGAGGTGGAGCGAGCTTCGCCTTCTCTAAAATACATGCACCAAATCACAATTACATTCTGCAATAAGGGAATATTCTACCTTAACTTACCCATCAATCAGCTCCTGAGCTCCATCACAAATATGATGTTCCTATATGATCGATATGTAAGGAAAACATTTTCTAGATACCGCCAGATCGATGGATAAGTCAAGACAGAATCCCGGTAAGATAAATATAAAAATACCATTACCTGGCGGCTGCCTCGGCCATCTTGCCCTTGATAAAGTCGTCCTCAGCAAGGCGCTGCATGGTTACACGAGCCGGCGGTTTCGCGAGAATCTTTTTCGCTGGAAACGGCTGGTCATCTTGAAATCAAACCCTTACCCACAAAAATATCATGGCATTTAATTGTAAATCGTAGGTTCAATGCTGAGACCGCATGTTTAAAATGCAAACAGGGCTTAGTCTTATGCGAACACGTAACAGTTCGAAAAATAGACAGCTAAGAAATGTTTGAGAAGTAAAGGGAACCTGGGGAGGTAAGAGCTGTAACAACGGGAGGTGGGGGTGTGGGAGTCTTCTCCACTATAATAACAGGTGGCTCTGGGGGAGGCGTCGGAGGTGGTGTTGGAGTAGGCGTTTTGACTTTAGGCTTGTAAACATCTGATATACTGGAATTAATCGTTTGGTATTGAGTATTGGACCATACTAAAGCGGTGATTTCATATTTAATTAATGATAATCAGTGAATAGATTTGTATTTCACCATGTTAATGAACACTAAAACTTACAAACAGCAGGCGGAGTCTCATCAAGGTCATCGTCTTCTGTTGCTGACAAGGAATCCTGAAATATAAGAAGCGTTCTCTAAATATTGTTCATATACTCCCGATCTAACTATGGTGTGAATAATACACATTTTGATGTTCCACTACGAACTACTCGCCGCCATTTTCTAAAGCTGCGGCATCATCGCACAAAGCAGTCTAATATAATATATGAAACAGAAGATCTTGTTAAGTACACAAATTCCTTGCAAGAATTTGTTCTTTGTAGTACTAGAAAGCGATCAAAGGCAATAAAACTAAAAGAACAGAATTGATCGTATAAGATTTTGAAGTGGTAAGACAATAAAGCGTGTTGTTGCAACACTACCTCTGAGGACCAATTGTGTTCCTGCTCATCCTCATCCTCTTCTCCCCCTAACTCCCCCTCTCCTTTTTCCTCGTCGTCAGTATCGTTCAACATGGCATTGATCCCCAAAATATCATCACTTGGAGCCAGCACACTCCGATCTGTCCCACTGGTCTACAAATGCAGTTGACGGTTTCATGAAACTTCAGGAACATGATTTTTAATTTTTGTTTGAGCGTTCATGTGTTCGGAACAGAATGGAAGCATCTCCACTGCGATACACACTGGATTTGATTTGACTGGCTACAGTCTAGTTTCTTCAGTAATTGATGCAGTAGCCGTTAAGTGTGTGAAACATGGTTTAAAATGGTAGCTTGAATATATCATGCTTGTTGTGCTTGTAGGCATCAAATGAGAGCGTGTACGCTCGTTCTATAGTCTCTATATCTTATCTACAAACGAATTGCTGTAAAATTGTGTGAACTCATGCATTTCACATCAAGCCGGTGCTCATTATTGGCAAAAACATGCAAAATAGGCAAAAGGCTAACAAAGAGTAAAAATGCTTCATGCAAAGTCGGGGTTCCATTTTGAAAAAAAATACGTCGGATATCCGATCAGTGACAAAGACATGCACCATTTAACAAGGAACTAAGTTTCTCATGCTGAGGAAACCTTGCCGGAGTGGGGGATGTCACTGCTGTGAGGAGGTCGAAGGGAGTCCTCGGACATGGCAGAAACAGCAGGTAGACTTTGTCTGCTCTGCAGCTTTGGTGTCGGAGTTGGCAATATGTCTGGTTCAGGTGAGGGGATGTAGGCAGATTCTTGTTTCACTTCGAGGGCGGAAACAGGAGTGGGTTGAGGTGGTGTAGTAGATGCCATCGTAGAGGTAGAAGGAGTTGTGTCCGTAGGTGAATTAAACTAAAGAGGGTTGAGGGTTGCATGCTTTGATTAAGATAAGAAAATTATTGAATGAACTTTACCACGAATATTATGGCAATAAGTATGATCTGCCATTTGAGAAATCGTTTAGTTAATATTCTCCCATTGTGCCGATATGAATAATATGTACCTGAAGGGGGCTTATATCGTCATCACTAGAACTATCGTCTTCATTGTCAGCCTCACCACTGGAGTCCCCATATTCCGGACTTTCTGTCTCTGTATGAAATACAAAAAACCTATCATGTTTAGTCAAATAAAGACAAATAGATAAATGAAACAATTGGTTAATTTATCGGATCAGATTGTAAGATTAACCAGTAAGATTGAGTTGAACGAATCAAATAACTAAGTAAGATAATCCTACCCGTGGTATCCTCAGTGTCCTCTTTTAACTCTCCCTCCGTCAAACTGTGAAGGAGGTTAGCTCTCTCCTGCTCCCCTGTCACCAGGGTTCGCTGTGAGGGCAGGTAGTCGGTGTCTTGATCCCCTGATTCCCACAGTCCGAGAGCACTGTCTCCGAGAGCACTGTCCCCGAGGGCACTGTCCCTATTTGCAGATATGCTGCTATATCGTAGTTATGTAGAAGAAGCATGCAGTATTTTGTATGGAACATGCAATTCAGAAACCACTATGTAGAAATATACATCACAGTCACAACTCACGATTCATACAAATTCAGAAAGTGTTCTTGATTCTATGTTCTGACATAAAGTATCCTGTATGAATAACGTCTAATCTCTCAATGAATTGAGAACAATTACAGTGAATGGAAATTGGAATGGTTTGATCTTATCGTAGTACCGTAGTAAGGTATTATTAAATCTACAATCAGGTTTATGAGAATAGTACAGAACCAAGCGATATAAGGTCAACATTTCTCAGATTACCTGCCAAGAGGAGAGCCCATGCTATCACCTTCGTCCCCGCCAAATCCAGCTCCATCAATCGCCAACCTTTCACGTCTCATCTTAGCATCTTTCCCTAACGTTCGCCAGTTCTTCAGACTTCTGAGTAGGATGGGACGGTGTTGTTCCAGGATACGCTTTATCTCCACCTGCAATCAGGTGACGTTAAAATATGTGGTTGACTGTTCGAGTGTTACCAGTTAAGTTAGGTTTCAACGTGCAAATTAATATTAGTTTTTCGCTCGCTGCACCATGAAAATATATACATATATATGTAGATTGCAATAACAGGCAATAAATAATAATATGGCTGATATTTGGAAAGCTGCAGCGGATTGGCGTTCAGATTGAATGGACACTTCTGCTTCTTCTAAAGAAAGGTTTAAAATACATATTTGAAAAATAGTAACCTCTTTTTCGAGAAGGTCTCTGTTCAGGTTGGCTTGTTGTACGGTGAGCAGTGCTTGCCCCAGATTATACAAAGCGCTTATCGGCAAATGTGAACCCTTCTGTCGAAAAAAGAAATAGATAAACGCAACTTCGAATAACGATAGATTCCCAAACTTAAACCGAAATTATCAAAAATACCCAGATTTAAAAGAAGAATCGTTAACACAATAAAATAGGCCCCCTTAACTTACCCTTTGGTGGCCAGCTGCATGTGCCCCCTTTCTGCCGGCTCCGCCTTTCCAAAGACTGAGATCTGTTTCACTGATCATGGTGGGTGATCGTATAGTTTCTCTAATTTTAGCAGGATGCGATGCAAGATCAGGCAAAAGATCTTTTACATACCTGGAAAAATGATATAACGATTTTGTATTAAACAGTATGGTCAGTGAAAAGCATAAGTATAAAGGATGGTATTATTTGCTCAACATACCTCTCTATATCTAGCATGTGCTCATCTAGAAGAATCTCGTCGGCAACCCGATCACACAAGCTTCTGTCTTCATCATACCGGTGTATTTCTTTCGCTGCTGTTTTTAAATGATTATTAGAGGGGATTTCAAGGTAGGGGAGAAAATGAGGGATCGTGATCGACTGTTTAACTTCTATTCATCGAAAGTCAAAGTTGAGAAGAATTATTAACCTTTGGGTTTGATAGGAGGTAACTTGACGTAGTCTGACTTTCTGATACGGTAAACTTGTCGAGGTTTGTCTGTTTCATCCTCGACAGGTTTGAGAGTTACAGGTCGGGGTGCTCTTGTGGGTGGAACACTCCGGTCCTCTCTTATGGGGCGCTCTAGTAGTGTCGTCATCTCTCACATTTCCGGGGGCGCTCAACTTGTTACTGGTTTAGCTGTGTACTGTTTAGTTAAGGCTGGAATTATTGACAGGTAATTGGAGAGCAAAAATATTTTAGTTCCATCAATTTCGGACATTTTAATTTTAATCAATAAAAAAGTGTAAAAAGATTAAACAAGCAATTCAAAACGTATACTTTCTGAAATTAAGAGCTGTAATTAGATGCATCTAAAAATTTATCCAACATAGTACAAAATACAAATACAAAGACCATTGTCAAGGCAGCAAATTGATTAGGTCAGAAGCGAGATTAAGAGTAGTCAGCAGTGACAATTGCAACTGAGACTACGCTATCAGACAATCTCACCGCACACATTAAACTTAATCAAAATAGATTTAATTAAACAAGTTGCCGATTACTGTAGAGTCGGTCGGTCCAATCAGACAAAGTTTTAGGATAAAGTTAGGAGAATAGTAAGTACAGGGGGCTCTACGGTCTAGTGTGAGTTGTAAAGTCGATTTGTAATTTCACAGTAAAATACCACTGATCAGGTTTCTAACCACAAACAGAAACACCATTAAAAGGTCCCACAAATGAAATGAACTATGAGAACATACAGAGTGGAGGTAAATGTGCTCTGAAGACTGACTATAAGAGGATAACTGGTAAATGGTGACGGTAAAGACGATATGTCATCAAGGTACAAAGGTCAATGTTAAGAGAAAATTATCCTCTGATCTTGTAACAAGTAATTACACAGCTTATATATAGAGCTAATGATAATTTACTTAGAACACTCTGTAACACTGTATAACAAGCAATCGACCTCAATATAACACAGCGGCTGTTTCTTCGTATCTATCTGTCTACTGCTTCAGCCTACAATTCTAATTAAAACGTCACGATAGGAAGTATTGTCCAGGTATTCAAGCAAGCAAATCAACTATACTGTGGACACTTATATTAAACAGACGTGTAAAACACGATAACCGATATCAGAAAAGGAGAATGGCCCGGTTATTTGAGTAGCTGCTCGGCGGCTGCTTGCCTCGTCATGCACGGCAGTCCACGTGTCCCTGCTATTGTAATCGTCTAACTTGTGAAGAGGAGCAAATCATAAAAACATAAATTATGCAAGAAGTGATAAGTTATCAGGAGAGTGTGGTGTTGTAGTTCAGAGTTTTTAACAGCTCAGAACAAGCAACGGTTGCTGCTTGGACGTGTGAGGTTTCCATGGTTTGCATCCACTTTTTGTATACTGCCCGGGAGTTCTTCATTGTGTCATACCCACCAGACTCTATGCTGGATGCCTGAGAATTGAGAAAGGGGAAAACATTGAACTCATCGGTTTTGCTAGGACTGATTTTAATTACACCCTTCAGCTTAATCGAAGTATGACTGACGGAAGGATTGCATGGTCAGAAGGTCATTACCGTACTACTACTGGGGATCAAAGTTCCAAATCAATGAGCTCTAACTTACTTTGGAGGACTCTAGAATGTAGTTGTACACGCTGATCGAGAATGTGATGTCCAGTTGTGAGAATAGATCCTTGATCGATGTTATAGGATCTTCTGCTATCTAGAAAAAGGGACGTTAATTGGCAATCATACTTGATGATGACTGTCATTGAACGACAGTATTCATTTATTCAAGTTCAAAGTTCCGATTATATATACTTATAAATACATTTGATACATATTTTGTTCTAACAGTAACAGATTGTTAGCATATTACAAAAATTTAAATTAATATCAAGTTTATTTCCAATAGACTATATAAATGAGCCTTGGCCTCAATTTTGAATTTTATAAAGTTGATTAAAGTTTATTTACTCACATCCTCATACTTGACGGTCAGAAGTCTCCTAGCTCGATGAAAAGTTTGCAGCCCCTTAACCAACCTGGTCCGATCCTCACACAGAATCCCAGCAGCCCTGCTCACATCTTCCACTGTAAAGTTCGTTGTTGTCACCTCTCCGGGAAAGAACCTCTGGAATGTTCCCTGAGGCAAAACTTCTCAATCTTGAGTTTACCTAACTTTGTCCTGGTTTTACTTTGTTCAGAAATGCTGCCTCTAGACACGGGAACTACAGAATCGGACGCCTCTAGACGCCTCTAGACACGGGAACTACAGAATCGGACGCCTCTAGACGCCTCTAGACACGGGAACTACAGAATCGGACGCTTAAAATTGTGAGAATTATCGAATAAATAAATAATCTTCTACCTAGCTTCTATTGTGTATTGGGTCATCGACATTATATTTATATTAATTAACCAATCATCTTAAAACAACCACTCTAATTCTGGAGTTGCACTGCCATAACCCACCTCCATTATACGCTATGCATACTTAAACGTCTAGAAAATTCTATCGTGGTAGGTTATCATATATAGCAGACATATTTTCAAGAGACTAGGAAAAGATAAGGGAATATATAGAGAGATAAGCAGTATCGTGATTCGTGTCAGAGGATTGCTTATTACGTCGACACTGGCACTGTTACTTCGCCCGAAGATGAATGGCTGACAATAAAATCACATGATTATGTTACTCGATGCTCAGTGGACGATGCGTTATCTTGCTCGATGTTTATCGGCTAGCAGATTGATCATGTGATCGAGCAGCGATCCAATCAGAACATCCGTAGTGACGCGGATGAACCAATCAGAAGGTAGGAATATTTTCAACAAGGATTAAATCCCCACCCTGTTTATCTTGTTACTTCGTTACGTATCGTTAAATTTGTCTTTATTTAATTCGAGATATCAGAAAGTTTGCACAAGATAAGGTAACAGCAGAGGTGTTAGCTCATCGCTCCTCGGAATAGGAACTTACAGTATCTCTGTCCCCATGACCATCGCATTCAAGAATCTTTACTAATAGGCTGTGCAGGTAAGTTATTTAATTCGATAGCGTCCTTTGTTAATTTAATAGTCTTTTGCTTCAAATCAAGCGGTCGTTCCATTCGATGATATACAATCAAAACTTCTCAAATGAAAGACCAAACAATCATGCAATGTCGAGTATTCAATAGAAATATACTCATAAGAGGCGTTTCTCACCATCCTTGAGTTGACGGAACCTCTCGGATCTCTAACAAGATGGACCACATCTAACTCGCACCCTGGGTATTTGGTCTGCAGTCTTTCTAACGTGTAAATGTCTGCTATCTTGACCACTTTAGCTACTCTTGCTTTAGCTGATAAACACTGGTCCCGAAGGTAACCTAAAAGTAACCAGATTATCTTCGGCATTTCCAATTAAATCATAAATCACGAATTATGTTTTGTGTGAACGAGGAAACTAATATACTTCACCTGTATCCACGTTGTAGAGCAAAGTTTGAGCTCGTTGCCCCACACTGCTGTGCTCCAAAACACCATAAGAAGGTATTTCGCTGTCAAAGTTGCAGGTGCAAATATTGTGGAGAATTTCAACCTAAAAATAGGACTGACTCGATACCTCTACGTACAATCTTGCCTGAGTGGCTGTAAAACTCTAATTCTATATGAAGCCATGCCACACCATAAAACGAAAATTTACAAAACATTTAGTTTGTGAAATATCCACATCAGCTCCGGAGAGCCTACGCTCGAGAAAGACGTCTAATTCTATTGGATAATTGTGTGAAGACTGAAGAACATGAAAGGCGAAAGCCTGTTTAGAGATACCACTCTGAAGAACGATGCAGCCAGATTCTCTGGTCAAACAGACAAACCTGAGCATCGACAGTGGAGAGAAGGAGGGATGATGACTGATATATCTTGGTGTGTAGCGGTTCAAACAGATAGAATATCTCTGGATCGGAGTTGAAAATGGAGCCCAGCCAACTGGAACCCGATCTTTGTTGGGAGAGAATAAGAGTCAGCTGAGGTCGGAACACCGGAGCACCTAATCGTTTTCAGCAGTTAATGGTAATCGTTTTACAAATCTGATTCCTAAGCTACTTTCTGTTCATAAGTTATTAATATGTGATTTTTTCAGGAATCGGATTTTATGTGAAATAATGTTCATTGGTGCCCATGCCAGAAGTGTAAGATAATGAAAAACAATTAGCTTACTATTAGTCAACGAAGATTCGATTGGCTGTGAGATCTGCAAAAGGGCATAGCAGTAAACAGTGAGTATTATGAAAACAAGAAATCCAATAACTGCAGCATTTGAGTTAGTTGTCGTCCCAAGGAAACCTGTGTGAAAGAAAAACAAGAGGTAAGAGAAAAGAGTTCTTTATCAGCTTTATTATATTAGCACACAATAAAATGTTGAACAGAATGTGTGTTTTCAGAGAAAAAGAGACATACTGTAAGAGGGTTTTGGCATGTGCCGATGATGTCGTACCATGCCCCTGTAAGCCTCTATTGTGTTGAATATGGGAGAGATCAATATAATGGTGTTCACATACGACATACGATAACAACGTTGAGAATAAGTGGGAATATAAATTACCAAACTTACCATACAGAGCTGTAAGCTAACTACGAGAGCAGCAGTACCTACAATTACCTACAGCAGTAACTACAATTCCAGTACACAAGTCACAATTCATAAGTAGTTTTCTACTTAAAGTGACGATACTATCTGTAACCAGTTTAATAACGGTCTTGAAGCTAGAATTCATTTAAATCGTCCTGTTCACAAATTGTGTGATTGTTTTTAAGTTTTTATACTTTATAATAGGCGAACAACTCCATGTTGATGATGGCGATAGGTGTTCACTGTCCAATTTACAGCATATAAGCTAGTTTTTGGTAAAAACGAGTTGAATTCGGCTAATATTATATTAGCCGTGTGTTCTAAAAGTAGAATTAAAGAAAAGTAAGGAAAAGTCGATATAAGATAAACTTGTCACTATATAGTGTTGTCATTATATAGTGCGTTTTGCACACTATATAATGAAAAAGATCAGCTGTCATTATAAAGTGCTTGTCACTATATAGTGTTGTCACTATATAGTGTGATTACCGACTCGGAGACCACAACTCCGGTCCTGGTGACGTTTGTTGACATTTGCTGATTACTCTAGTATGATTGTAGTGACACATTCTAAGGATTGATGCAGATGTCGAAAAGAAGTAATTACCCAGTAATTGATATCTCGTAACGCCGGCCCTGTTCACTGTTGTGTCCGAAAAATGGAGCAGTTTACGATTGTTACATTTTCCAGGAATCCGATCTCAGTTTGTAATGACTTAGTGATCGTCTTGTTCGCTTCTCATATTATATTATTACAGGACAGCTGTCAGCTGTAACACAGCTGTCAGCTGCACGTACTAATAATAAGCAGAAAACAGAGCAAGGATTGGGACAATTCTCAGAATCGACGGCACTTGTGACTTGTCTTTGTCACAGCAGACCATGTTCGTTGAATTCAGAGAGCATTCATTGAATAGTGGTCCAAAGTAAGTCACCAGAGAAATCAAATATCAATACCGTGCGGCGTGCCGTCCCAACGAAAGATAGATTCAAAATTCCGAAATAGTAAGGGGAAAAGTGGTCGATTTAAGGGTTCCGTTGGATCGGTTTGTTCACAACGATTTCTCAACGGAATATGGTAGTTAAGACCCTTACGAACATAATTAGACTTGTTGCCAATTTTGTATCTCGCCGCCACACCCTTTTTTTGCCACGCCCATTTTGAGGGTCTCGCGTGTAGTGAAAATCAGAGTTTTTGATAATTTTGGTCGAATTTGTCATGCTATATATCAAACTAGGGGTTTTAAGACTCGAGAAACACGTTGCAACTATCTGTTTAAAGCCAATGTGCTCAGGAACCGCGTTCTCTGATATTATCTAGATTAGAATGAAACTAACTATGATAAAATGGGTGCAGTTACATGAGTACTTTGCGAATACATATTTCCATATTTAGCGTTTTGTTTAATTATTCAGTCTCAAGAACTTAATTACAATGTTCAAATACTAAAGTTAACTGGTTTCACAAAGTCTGGTAAACAATTAGACATTAAGCAAAAGACAGTCCCTGGCATTCCCACGCTGCATATATGCATATATATTACACATATATTTGTGTATGCACGATGGGATAAGATGATCTCTAACTTGCTGGGCTCATACTATCGGAATGCTCTGTGGAGGAAGACTTAAACTCGAAGTGTATGGGGCGTAGGCCCGCCCTGCCTTCCCCAGGGATGCCCGATAGACGAAGATCTCTCACATTTTTCGTTTTGAACTGCAATCGGTACGTGTGCTCTTTTTTCAACTTTTTATAATGCCATGAATATTTGTGCACAAAGAAATTGTTAGAATTCGAATTCAATCGAACTTACTTTTTACTTTTGTAAGTTTTTAAATTTAATTTAACCGTCCTCACTTTCAGAGTATTGCTATTACATGATCTTGTCTAAATTGAAACGTCGTCGGGTCGACTTTACACTAGATAACTGCATTCTTTGCCAAGAGGTGCATGGCAACCAAACAAAAAGTAAGTTTAAATTGATATATATATATCCCGCTTTGTTTTTTCAAAACTTTTGTATACGAATAACTAGTTGCAGGAATTAATATCAGCAACAACATTTGCTATGTAATCGTCCAGTTTTTTCTTTCAAATGTGCAGTACCGAATATCGATATTGCAGTGTAAACATCGTACATGGTCTAATTTATGTCCTCTTACTATATGTATAAGTTAATTGTGTTTGTTTCTAGGTTGCCCAAGCAGTGTCGAAATTATCGACAAGCTTCTTAAGAATGTCCATGATCGAGCATCTTGGGGAGACCAAAAGGTACTGGAGACGTGCCAAATTCTCCTAAAATCTGGCAAAACTGCTATTGACCTGCTATCTGGCTGGTATCATCGCATCTGTTATCAGGAATTCAGCTCCATAAGTAAACTTCAACGGTGCAAACGGCGCTACCAAGAATCGATTGACTCAGGTACGGTCTATGTGCTTTTTGTATAAAGTTTATGCAACGTATTTACTAAGCCACCATCTTCTTACTGGATTCTGATTACCAATTAAGGCATTTAAAAATATACTGACTCAAAATTTTACAGGTGCCTTTTGTCCTTTAAATTTAATTTATGAAAATTACATAATTGTGCATCCTGTCGCTGTCTGACAGTTGCAAACATAGAATTAAATGCAAAACGCGTATTGATTATTTTATTTTCTCAGGAGAACCCTGTCAGCTAAATCGTGGTCCAGGAAAGCCTGCTAATAAAGATCCCCCGCACATCTCTCCTGAACCTCATGAAGGAATACTAACAAGATCTCAAGCATTGCCGTCTTCAGTGTTCAGGTCAGTTTTAGATTTAAAAGACTGCAGCACTTTTTGTTTTAAATTGATAATAATTAAAACAAGGTCATATTGTGTTATCTTATAATTGTTCGTGTAGGAGTACGTTATTTGCTTGATAAAGTCTGTTCATTTGCGTGATATTGTCCCTTTGTGCGTGATAAAGTCTGTTCATTTGCGTGATATTGTCCCTGTGTGCGTGATAAAGTCTGTTCATTTGCGTGATATTGTCCCTGTGTGCATGATAAAGTCTGTTCATTTGCGTGATATTGTCCCCGTGTGCGTGATAAAGTCTGTTCATTTGCGTGATATTGTCCCTTTGTGCGTGATAAAGTCTGTTCATTTGCGTGATATTGTCCCTGTGTGCGTGATAAAGTCTGTTCATTTGCGTGATATTGTCCCTGTGTGCGTGATAAAGTCTGTTCATTTGCGTGATATTATCCCTGTGTGCATGATAAAGTCTGTTCATTTGCGTGACATTGTCCCTGTGTGCGTAATCAACTCTGTTTATTTGCGTGATATTGTCCCCGTGTGCGTGATAAAGTCTGTTCATTTGCGTGATATTGTCCCCGTGTGCGTGATAAAGTCTGTTCATTTGCGTGATATTGTCCCTGTGTGCGTGATAAAGTCTGTTCATTTGCGTGATATTGTCCCTGTGTGCATGATAAAGTCTGTTCATTTGCGTGATATTGTCCCTGTGTGCGTGATAAAGTCTGTTCATTTGCGTGATATTGTCCCTGTGTGCGTGATAAAGTCTGTTCATTTGCGTGATATTGTCCCTGTGTGCGTGATTAAGTCCGTTTTTTGCGTGATATTGTCCCTGTGTGCGTGATAAAGTCTGTTTATTTGCGTGATATTGTCCCTGTGTGCGTGATTGAGTCCGTTTCGGTTTATTTTCGTGATATTGTCCTTGTGTCCGTTTAGCCGTGTTGCTGGTGATGTAATTGATAAATATTAACCCTAATTAACTGTTAATTATTATTAATCTTAAAAATAAATTCAGGAGTTCAATTGATTCTATTTTATTTCTGTTCGCAGATCGTGTGTGTTCTGCCTGGGGACAGCTGATACACTGCATCTCGTTCTCACTCTCCCTGTAAGTGAATCATTTTGTCGTATTGCTAGGGTCACTACTGATGAACAGCTTGGGATTCGCTTGAGAGCTGTCCCAGATGCGGTTGCTGGAGATATCATGTATCATAAGAAGTGTTTGGTTGAAGCAGAGAGAAATGCCGATCAAATTGAACAGAAGAGGGTGCAGAGTACCGAGCCAGGACAGGCCGTAGACCTTGAGTTTCTTATTTGGCTATTAGATAAGTGCGAGACTGTCGGTTACAGAGACTTTCGGACCAATACCAAGGAGCTACATAAACAGTACGTCACCATTTTTTCGCACCATGTTCCTGTCGATGAGAGTGTTCTTGGAGCAAATAAGTTTAAAAAGCACATTAAGGAATTGATTCTTGACAATCTAAGTGGTATAGTCTTCATCCCGAACACACTAAAAAATCGTCCTGATACTGTATGTTCTACTAGAGTTGTCTCTTTTGCAGTTGATGCATTGATTGAGGATCTTAATATGTGGAATATTCGTAAGGCAGCACTTGTGATTCGAAAGTCGATGGAGGACGCAGAGCTAAGCAAATGGACGTTTACAGGAGATTTTACCTCATTCCAGTCTCCTATTGAATTGAAATCGTTTCTGAAATGGCTGCTGTATGGTGATGTTACCGGCGATCTTACACAATTTAAGGCTAAAGAAACCAGCAAGACAATAGATATGCTGTGTCAGCTCATCTCCATTAACACGAAAAGTGATCGATCTGTGAGAAGAAGCTTAGCCAAAGGTGATGTTAATGGCCCACAACAGCGATTCCACAGTAATGAAACCCCTTTCTCTGTTGGTTTAGGACTCTCCATCCACAACAGTACTCGGAGCAAAAAGATTATTACGGAAACGAAGGGCCTTAACGTTTCTGAAGACTACAAAAAAATAAAGCTCATTGAAGATTGCATCGAGAGTTACGCCAAGGTACATTGTTTAGATGAAAACAACTGCTACGTGCCTTTAACAATCTGCAAAAAAACAAGACCCTATTTTGCCATTGATAACTCTGATTTCCAGCGGGACAGTAAAGATGGGAAAGGTCAGCTCCATGGTACATTGATAACAGTTTTCCAGAATGATGTTAAGTTGGGAGAACAAGTGATTAAGTTGTCAAGGGTATCATCAACTCAAAATGATGACACACGGAGCAATCTCAACGTTAAGCTGCAGCAATGTTACCCCCCAAAGATGTTATCTCCACCTCTTCCGAAGTATCGTGGAACTGTATGTGTTGACGAGCAAAGATATCAACATTACGACGAAACCTGGGGCTTACAACAGCTATATGATGAAGAAAATCAGTTTACACTTACCTAGAAATCATACAACGCGAGACTTTGTTCCAAAGCTGGGGTCACAAACATTGCAATGCTTCCTCTTATAAAGTCACCGCCTACAGATTGGTCGACACTGTATACAGCATTGAAGATGTGCCAAGGCATATCTACAAAAATCACACCAGATCAAAAAACGATCGTCACTTTAGATCTGCAGCTGTACATAAAGGCGATACAGTTGTATTCCAAAGGGGATATCGGAGATCACTTCATATTCAGGATGGGCGAGTTACATGTAGTTTTTGCTATGTGTAGAGCTATTGGGAAATATATTGACAATAGTGGACTCGAGAAGCTGTTCAGTCACTGCGGTATTTACGGTCCATTAGCCATAGGGAAGATTCTAGAAGGAAAGCACATGAAACGGTGCGTGGCTGCTAGCCTGATATTATACACGTCCATTTTTCAGACATTATACGATCAATTTCTGGACACTGACGATGAATCTAAGGAAAAGGTAAAAGAAATTGTCGGTCCCATTCTGCATAAGATGAGAACAGGCTTACAAGATGTGCCTTCCTGTCATAATCAGCTCATCGAGGAATTGAAGTCGGGTAAAATCTTTTCAAAGTTCCAGACATTCAGGGAAGATCTTCCGAAACAGGGAAAGTTTCTCAATAATGTGTTAGAAATGATACAAACAATGTTACTATTTATGAGAGCTACAAGGCAACAACTTTGGAACTTACACCTAGTATCATTGGATAAATTCACAAAATACTTCTTTGCTTTGGATTTGCAAAACTACGCCAGAATGACACCTGTGTACTTGTCCTCAATGAATAAACTCCGAACCGAAGATCCAGCAACGTGGTTATTCCTCTCCAAAAATTTTTGTTGTAATAAAACTGAAGCGCCTTTCGTAGCGATAGGAGTGGACCACTGTCTTGAGCAAGTTAACAAAGAGCTTAAGTCGATGGGAGGGATAGTAGGTTTGTCAGACGAAGGAATTGACACGTACGTTTTAACTGCACCGATTAAACGATTACTGCGGGAGCAATTTACTAAGCAGTTTGAGACATCAAATCCTGATACAACAAACCATATTCATTATGAAGACGCAAATGGTTATAAAAAGTTCCACACCGAACGAGTCCAAATTTACAAAGCTGCGTTAGTTGATTTCCTTGATGTTGACTTGAAGACGACCAAAATAGTGTTCAATGTGATGTCTCACACCGTACTGAAAGACGATATGGAGATACTGAACATCAAAGAAATTGGGGAGGTAATGTTGAATGATTTCACAACTGAAAGATTTGAAGGGTCGAAAACAAACGTCTCTATATGGGAAACATTAACAAAACGGAAACTGAAAACCTTCAAGACTCTGAATAAAGCCATAACGATCAAGACCACAGAAAAGATTGTTAAACTCAGAGAGGAGCGAGGGCTAATGACACGTCTCCTCGTAATATCACGCTCAAGATCAAGCCTGGATGTTGCAGAACTGGTGAAGACTTACGAGTTTACCGTGGTTCCTCACTCTTTGTTCAACTCTGAAGGAAGATTATTGAAGTGCACTGACAAGTCTGACTTTTTCAATGATATAATTGGTCACGTCGGAGTTTCAACAGAGAAATCATCACATTCCCCATCGCAGGACTTTATTGTTATTGACGGTATGGGTATTGCAAACCAGCTGAAAATGTCTCCAGATATTGTTACACTAGAAGATCTTTCGAAACAATTTACTAAACGGATTATTGACGAAACTTCTCTGTATCCAAAGGTTGTCTTAGTATTTGATCGTTACGACCAATCATTGTCCAATTTGAAGAAACAGACATGGTGTGACAGACACAAAAATCAAATTGAATACAAACTGTCAGAGCGGACCATTATCAAAAACATCAAACTTAAGGAGCTTATGTCTCACCCAGAGAACAAAAAAATCATGTGTCAGTTTTTCTCAAAGATGGTCATGGCTGAATTAGGTTCCTTGCACAAGTTGTTTATCATTGTGCAAGGAACTGAGATACTATCAAATATGCCAGAGTGGGAAATTGAAACACATAGCCAGCACGAAGCTGATACACTTTTGCTGTGCATTATCAGGCAGCTTAGCTCTGATGCTGTGAACCCTCCGACATTTCGGATAGTATCTCCAGATACCGATGTCTTTATACTAGCTATATATCTTACAACGCAGGTAACTGGTATGGACATAATATTTGAGCTGATAACGAGTAAAAAAAGAAAAGTAGTCCCAATAAAGTCGGTGGTGAATTCTCTTGGATTAAGTTTATGCGAGGCCCTCCTTGGAGCTTACATTTTCACGGGATGTGATTACACAGGCAGGTTCAACAAAATCACCAAATCAAGGGCGTTAAAAACACTTCGTTTGTTTGCCGATGACGAAGCTATGATGAGAGGCCTGAAACTGTTCGGTGGAGGTGAAGAAATCGCACATGATGTGATTGACTGTCTTAGTTTGTTCACTGTAAAACTGTATATAAAGAGACAAGACGATCTCAATAGATACTCTAATGTCAAGGACGTTGGCTCCTTGAGATGGGAGCTATATTCCAAACATCAGGAAGATGGAGAAGTCCTGCCTCCAACGGAAGCAGCACTTAAATTCCATATAAAACGAGCAAACTACGTCACACTCATGTGGAAACGTTCAATTTTAAGCTTTCATCCCACACTTCCGATCCCGATTGTTCTGTAGACCAGGGGTGGAAGATTGAAGATGGCAGATTGGCAGCTGTCATGACGGACATTTTACCTGCACCGGAATTTTGTATAGAGATGATAACCTGCAAATGTAAAAAGAACAAGTGCGTGAACAACCAATGTGGTTGCCACAAAAACAATCAAAGGTGTTCAGAAGCCTGTTTATGCATAGACTGCGATAACGAAGATAGTATGTTTGAAACCGTCGACTAGCTTTAAATGAAGTGCTTCACAATGAACAAATTTTAATGAACTATGATCAAAATGCATCAACACAATATATATGGATATTTTGGTTATGAAGTGCACTTTAATTTCGAATTGTACCATATTTCGTCAGTATATTGTACCTTGTTTATTTCACTGCCAGCGTGTTTACACTTGGCGAGGAGTTTGTTTTATGATGTTTCTCTATTATACCAAATGCCTATGGTATTCTGAGTATTTTTCAGTCTAACAATGATACTAGATTTGATTGTTTTAAATATCATTTCAGTACCTTGAGATGGGAAACTTTGTTTATTCCTGTTTTCAAGATTAAAATTCAATAAAATTTATCGAAATGTTGATTTTGAATTGTTTTAGACTAAAATAGATAGTTGCAACGTGTTTCTCGAGTCTTAATACCCCTAGTTTGATATATAGCATGACTAATTCGACCAAAATTATCAAAAACTCTGATTTTCACTACACGCGAGACCCTCAAAATGGGCGTGGCAAAAAAAGGGTGTGGCGGCGAGATACAAAATTGGCAACAAGTCTAATTATGTTCGTAAGGGTCTTAACTACCATATTCCGTTGAGAAATCGTCGTGAACAAACCGATCCAACGGAATGCCACTTTTCCCCTTACTAAAATAAAAGAATAAACAAACTGCATTCATGAAGTGACGTATATATACGCGCGCATTATTTTTAACGCGCAGTTACTCGATAGGATGTATCCGATTTTCATATAATATTATCATTTATCCGCGGCGCCCTACGTTACGTTACAACATCATCTGATTTGAAAGGGGCGTGTTTTTGGATGTTTTATCTTAAATCAGCCACTAACCATATAAAGAATTCGGTTTCAAATTGCAGATAGAATGACCTCGACAAGTGAGCACACATAAGTTTACAATACAAATTTTAGCAAGTACTAAATATCAAGTATCAACACGCAAAAACTATTTCATTTCGGTGCTAACAAGCTGTGTACATATCGATTAATCACACTAATATAAGCACAATCCTTCCATCCAATACCACTCTGAGTCATGAGTCAAGATACTTTCATCTTCTCTTTGGTCTTTATCATATCCAATCTTGTCAGTTTCTAATCCTTAGGATCACAATAAACACTTTACAACGATTTAAAACGCCATTTAAATGCTTTATTATAGTCAACAAATACCCTCACCTTCAGTTTGATAAGTTAAATTTCAACAGATACAATTTTACGAAGTAAATAATTTATATTGACTATCATATCATTAAACATCAAACTACAAAAAATCAATGCTTACTTCTTTTTCAACCACCACTCTCATGAAACGCATGCAATTATGCAGAAAATGTTATGTTATGCATTACTTCCAGTATGTTTTCCGGTTCTACTGTAATCGCTGAGCGCAGCAATGCACACATCTCCGTCGCTACTACTACTACTACTACTACTGCTACTAATTTAAAAAATGCGGTATCTGGTTCACATTTCTCATTGAACACAGAACAAGTCATTACCTCATTCATTTCAGATGTCAAAATACAGCAGCTAGTAAAAATACAAGATGTATGCTCTGTCTATACACTACACAGTACACAGCGACTGATGTATACTCTAGATACCTAACAGACCAGGAAACCGTGTAAGAAGATATTGGAATTGGTCAAATTAGTAAATTGTTACTGAGATCTTGAGTATTTGACGCTAACTGCGCCAACTATTGTTGTTGTTGCGCGACAAAAAAACCTATAAATCAACATAACGAGACGTGAAAAGAGAGTGGCGATTTCATAATCTGATTAGGATAATAATTGCTTCTATCAGGCAGTAGGCACTACGTAATCAACAATTCAGTTATCACATGGTAAAAACATGTATCAATTTTATTCGCTGTACTAACGATATCCGATATAACACGGTACATACACCCTGACCACTTCAAAATACTAATCAAGGCCCTCATATAACTTAGCGAGCTGTCCCTTAAAGTTCCCTGCGATGTTAACCCTCTTCTTCTTGAATGTTGGCGTCGCCATGTCGTTTTCTACAGAAAAGAGTTCGTGGTGAAGGTGCACCTTTTTCACCTGCTCAAATCCTTTCAACACGGGCTTACCGATCCTGGCCAGTTCGCTCATCACCTCATCATACACTTCCTTCTTTCCACAAGCTTCCTGGAGGGTAACTTTCTCTCCGTATTTAGCTTTGACAGCAGCTTCTTCAGGCACGACGACTGCAACAAGGGTAGCCTTCAAGGAGTCACCGTAGACGAAACACTGTGCGACAAGAGGGCTGCCCTCGTACGCGATCTCTATCTTCTCTGGGGCGATGTATTCTCCCTGAGCCAACTTGAAGATGTTCTTTTTACGGTCGATTATCTGGAGACAGCCATGTGGGGTCCATGTTCCTATGTCCCCGGTGTGCAGCCAGCCGTCACTGTCTATCGTTTCTGCGGTCTTCTCTGGGTCTTGATAGTATCCTTTGAATACGATCGGCCCCTTGAGACAAACCTGAAAATAATAGAGTTATAACATACGTAGTACGTACGTGACTATTGAAGAATTGAGAAGGCAGCTGTGTGGAAATTGTCCAACAGCTGTGTTCCGTACATATATGTTAACTTTATAGAACAATAACCATTCCAACAGTGTAGAGGCAGAGACTATCATGTACACAACTCAGATAGTTGGTATTTGGTAAATCAATCACGCTGATTTACACAGGTTAGGTTAAAACGGAATATTGAAATGGTGAGGAACTCTTTAATTTAATCCTTCGGCTTCCTGTAATTGGCTGGTTGCACTTGTGTAACATTGTGGCTGTTGGAATACACCGAAGTAAAATAAGTGTCTAGATAAAAAATGAGGAATGGAGTGATTAGAAGAAATTCTCAAGTCTTTACACGCGAATAACGGAGCCCTTTCCTATTCCTGACTTTACAGTTTTCAAACCTTCTTTATATGGCCGGTTCATATGTTGTGTTATCCGAAAAATCACATACTAATCCAATTTTACGTTGTTTACTCTATTCCATCGGCTAAATCAGGCTAACTTATAAGCAACGTCAGCGCAGGAGTCAATGAAAAACTTAAGTGTTTCATGATTCACCCAAATTTGTATTCCAAAATAGCATCCAAACTGTGCATCGAGAAGCAGGAGCAAATTAAAAGGAATGAAACCTGATATGGAAATAACGGGGGTTTTGTGTGTCACCACTAATTGTGTTGCACGTACCTTTGAGGAATTTTAGTTTTGCACACTAGGTAAGTAGACCTTGGTAATTCATTGTGCGATCAATTTGGCTGCAGAGATGTTGATAAGGGCAATTAAAGATTGCCAAAAACGATTTATACGCGTACGACTACGGTTGGTAAATTACTGCTACAGGAACGTATTGAGGAATTTAAGGGCTGAAGTATTTACTAGTTCCGTGACAGTATTTAAAACATCCTAGATAAGAAAATACCATAATAAACCCACCTCGCCCTTGCCCTCGCTGGCCCTATAGTTCATATCGGGCACGTCATCAAGTTTAATGTTGGTACCGGGGGCGGGTGTACCCACGTGCCCTGGGATGGTGTCTCCGTACATGGACATAGTTCCCACACCACAGTTTTCTGTTTGTCCGTACCCTTCTATCACGAAACATCCTAATACTGATCTGTACCTGGAGGGTAATCGTGGGGTGAGATTCCGTAGAACACAATGGAGCGTTATATTAAAATCTAATATTTCAACAATATGAGAAATTATAAATATTTCACTCATTTTAAATATTAGTGCATTTCCAGCATGACCAAATCAGGTTTGATTGTGGTTGCAAAGTGCAGAGCACTTTACCCTGCAGAGCAACACAATAAAAAATACGATCAGTCGGCATATCTAGGAGTCAAGATATTCGAATACTGATCCTAAGATCCTAAGATTCCACGTACCATTGCAACACACTGGGAGCAATGGGGGCTGACCCAGTGATGACAAGCCGGATGTTGCCTCCCAGCAGCTTTCTGATCTTCTTAAATATCAGGTAGTCCCACACTGAGTTTTGTCGGCATATACCTTGTTCTACCTGAAGAAATACAGGATGCTATAATCGGTGCTGTTTTACAGATCTATAATTATCGACGTTTTATTATGTTTATTTTTGGGACAAAATGGGGCACAGTCTTACTCAGATCCAGTTCCATATTATTCTCGGTTTTATAAAGAAATTAAAAATGTTTTAAATATTTTGTTTAGGTTTAAAGGTTAACTTTATGACTCAAACGACGAGTTAAAAACAGTGTGCTAAAAATATCCATTAGCCATTTAAAATATTCAATTTGTGGCCCATGTGGCTAAGGATCTCCACCGTTATTACAGAAATATCAACATAAATTATGGAAAATTATGCATGACGAACGCGACACGATATACCTTCCGCATATTTGTAACCTTTTACCTTAGCCACAAAGTATTATCATTCCAGCAATATGACTTGCAAAACAATTAGATCGGTGCCAAGAAATACAAGAGAATTTCTAAGAAGTATGTGATGAGAATCCAAACCTCTGCGAGCTTGCTCTCCGTAGCTTTGCCGATCAGCCACTGAACGAAAGCGGGTTTCTGTCCAATACCCTCCATAATTCTGTCGTGGAGTTTGTTCAACACACGTGGTACAGACGGGAATACTGTGGGTTGCAGGTGAGCGATATCGTCCAGTAGCAGCTTAATGTTTCCCTGTAGAGTATGAGGTGATTGAGCAGGGGAAGGGGAATAAATAGTGGGGTTGGGACGAAATTAATGATTTCCAATTCACAACATTATTGATTTCATGGTCCTGTGTTGTTATGTATAGCACATTACCAGTGCTGAGTTTTATAAGTAGCAGAATTATACACATTATACATGCAGTAACGGTCAATCACGTCTTGTTTTATATTCTAGCAAATAACGGAATACATGATTATTAATTGTTACATTGAATAAGCAGCCTGTAGACAACTTGACAGCAAAGAATTAACAATTTCGTATGAAATCTAGGCTGTTGTCTACATGTACAATCGTGTTATGTTAGATAAAGGACGTGATTTGGAGGTTTGAGAATGTAAACAACTTTTGAAAGTTCACTGGCCATGGTGATCATCATAATGTGCACCTTTTTAAATCTCATAAATCTCGTTAAAGTAAGTTCAAACTTGAATATAGCATTGAATAATTATGTTGAATTTATGGATATTTCTCAGAGAAATGTAGCTTGTCCGCCATAATATATTATGCATGTTCATAATATTATGCATGTATGTTTTTATGCGCCGTAGAGTTAGTGAAAGACAACGTCAACAACAGGAAACTTCGGGCCCTTTTCTAGCCCTTTCAAAGCTTCCAGAACGACCTAGACTCCCCTAGAATTTTCTGGGGAAAACAATCTTGGCGCTTTGCCATTTGGGATTCAAGACTGCAAGCAAATTGGTCATTGCCTACCCTGGCACAGCACCACGTGTATGTCTGTGTTTTTATGCACGTGATACTGAAAATATTGTTCTTTTGTATCGATTAAATGAAGATACATGGCATGGGTTAACATTTCTTGAAGATATAGTACATAATATCACTAATTTAGGTACATTCCAATTCGTACGATGTACGAAATCGGTTATAAATAAATGTATTGATGTGTTAAGAAACTAGTTTGTTAAACTCATTACACGAAGACACGTTGCATACATAAACATGGCAACACATATAAAATGATTGGATTAAGTTATTTCAAATCTCATATTCGACATTATGCTCTCATTCGAGTCAGATGATTTTTCGTCAGAATTCATAAGATTGGTAGTATTGATAAAGCTAGCCATTCTGACAATCAATACAATTGTATCACTCTATTCTCTAATCGATCGACATAACAATACAAACTGAACATTACAAATCACCAACTGATGTAGAAAATTATAAGTATTCTCATCTAGGGACGAAATTGTCTGTCGCTAACCCCCTGATTGGGATACCTGAAGACTAAAAAAGGCCGTCCTAAGCACCGTTCATTGTAGGGATTGTACTGAATCATAACAAGATCCATCAATCAATACGACGATTCTAAACATGATCCCAACATTCCGGATTACGATTTGATCAATCCAGCGCACTGAACAGTAAGATTCCTGCCATATTGACAGAACTAATCAGAGTACCTGATAGAACCCAATACTGCCACCAATCAGCCCAAAGTAGCACTCCATAGAATACTGGTAGCTGTGAGCGGCAGGTAGATACGATAACATACAGTCATCCTTACCATGGGGCCACGGCTGGATGTTCCTGTCCATTCCCAGACAGGTCATGAATACGTTATCTGAAGAAGACACGTGGGTTACAATATGGGATAGTTATAAGAAACTCACCTGATAAAAACCAATGCTGGCACCGAGGGATGCGAGGAAACACTCCATTGCAAATTCGTAGACGTGAGCGGCGGGGAGGTAGGATATGAAGACATCGTTGTGGTCCACTTTGAATCCCCACAGGTTCTTGATAATAACCCCGCATACTGAGCCTACATTATCTGGGGACGGAGGTTTCACTGTGAACAGCTTATTTTTGTTGAAAAACTGGAGAAGGTCAGAAAGTGGTGTTGTGATTTTCACTGTGAACAGCTTATTTTCGTTGAAAAACTGGAGAAGGTCAGAAAGTGGTGTTGTGATTTCCACTGTGAACAGCTTATTTTTGTTGAAAAACTGGAGAAGGTCAGAAAGTGGTGTTGTGATTTTCACTGTGAACAGCTTATTTTTGTTGAAAAACTGGAGAAGGTCAGAAAGTGGTGTTGTGATTTTCACTGTGAACAGCTTATTTTTGTTGAAAAACTGGAGAAGGTCAGAAAGTGATTTTCACTGTGAACAGCTCATTTTTGTTGAAAAACTGGAGAAGGTCAGAAAGTGGTGTTGTGATTTTCACTGTGAACAGCTTATTTTTGTTGAAAAACTGGAGAAGGTCAGAAAGTGGTGTTGTGATTTTCACTGTGAACAGCTTATTTTTGTTGAAAAACTGGAGAAGGTCAGAAAGTGATTTTCACTGTGAACAGCATTTTTTTGTTGAAAAACTGGAGAAGGTCAGAAAGTGGTGTTGTGATTTTCACTGTGAACAGCATTTTTTCGTTGAAAAACTGGAGAAGGTCAGAAAGTGGTGTTGTGATTTTTGCCTCCTTGGTTTCAGCAAATGTTATGACATTTAGTATATTTTACCCTTTCATGCAGATCCGAGATAAAGTTTTCTGCATGTTAGTGTCTATGTGTAGGTAAACACAATAAAGCGGGTGGGCGACAATTGACCCCCCGACAATTGACCCCCCGACTATTGACCCCCCGACAATTGACCCCCCGGACCTTGACCCTGACCCTGACCCTAACCCTGACCCAGGACCCAGGACCCAGGACCCAGGACCCAGGACCCAGGACCCAGGACCCAAGACCCAGGACCCAGGACCCTGACCCTGACCCTGACCCTGACCCTGACCCTGACCCTGATCCTGATCCTGACCCTGACCCTGACCCTGACCCAGGACCCAGAACCCTAACCCTAACCCTAACCCTAACCCTAACCCTAACCCTAACCCTAGCCCTAACCCTAACCCTAACCCTAACCCTAACCCTAACCCTAACCCTAACCCTAACCCTAACCCTAACCCTAACCCTAACCCTAACCCTAACCCTAACCCTAACCCTAACCCTAACCCTGACCCTGACCCAGGACCCTGACCCTAACTCCCTAACCCTAACCCTAACCCTAACGGCCTAACCCTAATTCTTACCCTGACCCAGGACCCTGACCCTGACCCTGACCCTAACCCTAACCCTAACGGCCTAACCCTAACCCTAACCCTGACCCAGGACCCTGACCCAGGACCCTGACCCAGGATCCTGATCCAGGACCCTGACCCTAAGGCTAACCCGATCAGTTGACCCCAGTGTAATTACATGGGGGTCAATTGTCGGGGGGTCAATTGTCGTACTAAAACCTAGATTTCGCGACAATTGACCCCAGTGTAATTACATAGGGGTCAATTGTCGGGGGGTCAATTGTCGGGGGGTCAATTGTCGCGGTACCAATAAAGCGACTGATCCAAAGTTTTAAAAATCGAATTGAATTATAGCGAGTTCTATATTTTGAATACGTGACTTAAATTAACGTTTTAAATCTATTGCTGAAATAAACTTAATCTAGAATGGTCTTGAGAAAGAATGCAACAAAATTATTCGTGCGAATTTTGTCACCTTCTGCAACGGAATAGAGAATAAATACGAAAACGAATTATATACAAAGATCATAATCTGGAACAATCCCAAAGTCCTAAACACCACGTACCATGACTGTGTAAATATTAATAAACGGGACTTACTATGAGTGATCATTGCTCCCTTGGGCAGGCCAGTGGTACCACTGGTATAACAAATCAGAGCTACATCTGAAGCAACAGGAGGTAAGAAGGATTGGAGCGCTTTCTCTCCGAGTGATTCAATCTCAGCAAGAGACTTGATGTCAATACCAACCCCCGACGCTGCTGCCTGGTAATTTAACTGTGTTAAAGATTGATGGTTTATCAAACTGAAGTAGCCGGTAGCAATGGTGACTTATTCCGAATACAATAGAAAGTATCTTAAGTAGGGCGTTAATTTTGGTAAGGAAGAAGTACTATTTGTACACTGTAGGAAAGCAAGCATAGTGCGTAGACACACTTCTGTCCGCAGTTGGTTATTAGCGATGAAAAAGTCACTAAGTCGAAAAGGGCGCAGTCCTAGCTCGCACTAAGCACCATTAAGGGCGCAGTCCTAGCTCGCACTTAGCACCACTAAGGGCGCAGTCCTAGCTCGCACTTAGTACCACTAAGGGCGCAGTCGTAGCTCACACTTAGTACCACTAAGGGCGCAGTCCTAGCTCGCACTTAGCACCACTAAGGGCGCAGTCCTAGCTCGCACTTAGCACCACTAAGGGCGCAGTCCTAGCTCGCACTTAGTACTACTAAGGGCGCAGTCCTAGCTCGCACTTAGCACCACTTTTCAGAAAGCAAGCACAATCTATTCCTTCTCAGCTCCTAAAGGAGATTCAGATATCAAACCTGAGTCCCAGGGGCACAAATCTTATAAGTTATATACACAAATATCATGTGACGTGCAGAATCATAGACAGTGATCTTATAGCAAGAAGTTTTGCTAAAGAAGGTGCTGAAATACCTCTTGGTCGGAAGAAGCAGTCCCGTCAGTCAGCACTATAACTGAAACACTAGAGTCCGTTGTGATGTACTTCAGAAGGATGTCTAGTCTTTTACTGTCCGTGAATACTAGTTTCAGCTGCGTCTTACCCAGTATGAACTGAGGAAAAAAGCATTTTAATTACCTGGTTGCAACATTAGGAATTAATATAAATACAGTTGAAGTTTATACAGCGGAAGCTTATAACTTCATAATATCTCACAGCTTCAGTGGCTTAAGAAAGAACCCTGCAGACACTTCTATGGGGGGGGGGGGGGGGGGGCAAACATGGCAACTTGCCAACATCACAAATTGTACAATTAACAAGCGTACTTTGCTCTGCACAATAAACAGGGACATTTTCTTATCAATTATTATATTATTATCAGGTCACCGAAATGCAAGTGAAATGAGGCTTGGTAGCTGCTGTTTTGAATAAACACCCTATAAATTAATTAAATACTAATTTGCATTTCTGATAAGTCGTAATTGCGTTTATTTGGTCGTTTATCGTATAGACCTCACGCAACCTGTTATACTCGTTCAAAAATCTTGTTACAGGGCGTTAATTATCATTTAATTAGCGGTCTTATCAGTGGTCGGACCTTTGCAGTATATATTTTCATAATTCTACGGAAAGTAGGTAAATTTAAAACCCTTAAAAATACGATAATGGGTCATAAGTCAAACAAGGCCTCCTGGGAGTACTGTCTCATGACTCTACATCAACATCACGCTTCGCTCCTTTTATTACAGTTCTGATAAGATTAAGAGGGTCACGCGATAATTAAAATCGTATTAGTTTGAAATTTTATTTCGGGTATGAATCGGTTACAGTTATGGCCTGCAAGGTTGCAAATCGCAAAAAATGCGTCAATTTTATAATATTCAGGCCTCAGAACAAAGCGTCCTGTTTTTTGGAACAGTGCTCATTAAAAGAGAAAATATACGGCCGTCTAAACATCCTTTCTTTGATCTTTGGCCCGACGATAATATCAGTAACTGTATATTATCAAGTTTCTGAATTCTGACGTTATAGGCCCAAATTAATCAAATTAAAACTCTGGACAGTTTCTGCTCTGAAAGTAATTTTTATCTTCCATTAGCAACCCGTACTTTTGATGGTGTCGCATGTAGAATCTACATGCGACACCATGAAAACTGTAGATTATATAACAGGCAAGTTTATGCCATTCCTCACCTGAACAGCTTGTTCACCTAAAGTGTCGTACAAGGGAACGAGGACCATGCTGTAGTGGTTACACATCTGCATAGTGCTGTGCCACGCAACACTGTTCTGTGCGAAGATACCCACAAGCGTGTCCTGACCTGGGGGAAAAGAGGATTAAGTTGGGACCCTGCCAACCAGCACCAACTGTAGTGCATTCTGAGTAGGTTTGTAATTTTTATATCAAATATGGAAATATTTGCACTTGATTCTTTGTGTTTGCGCTGGCGTCTACAAAATTACACACACTCATCATGAAGTCATAACGAACGTGACTTTAATTTCAAATGAATGGTATATTTAGAGATATACCAGTCTTTGAAAGCCGAAATATGATATTGAGTAGGATGGGGGTAGACTGGAGAGAGATATTACTGAATTTCCAGGGTTGATGATAAGAAAACGTTGGTCTCTAGTCTTTACTGAAGACACCGCATTTTGTTTAACCACCATGACTTTAACCATGAGGGATAAAAAATGAGAGGGACAAAAAACATCGAGATTTGAGGCCGAATAGTCCTGATGCTTTTCGAGTTAAAGATTTGCAATTTTGATATTGACAACGATAGAATTCTTAAATAAAGCTCATTAAAGAAAAATTGCTGCTTAAACGGCTAGAATTCTTCTACGGATTATGAATATGATGTTATTGTTATTTCAAATAAGTATATAAGTAACGTGAATTGATGTTGTGGTTTAGATTCAATCAATTGTATTATATTTATTTGAAAAGTACCATTCCTCCAAAATTTTATTTCTTAGGTACAGAATAAAAATATCCACTTTTAAGAAAAATAGTATATTTCAAAGAAAATATATTACATATTATGGAGGAACGGTGCTTGGTGCCTTTAGCAACCCTGAAGGATTATAGGGCGCTTATTTCAAAGAAATATAAAATAAAATGTGGAGTTGTGGTCCAATCGAGCAATCGATCATATTATTATATTTCTTGGAAAAGCACCATTACTCCAAAAGTTTATACCTTGGATTAAATGCAAAATATTCTCTAAAGAAAAATAGTATATTTCAAAGAAACTACTTCTAGTAACCCTAAAAACGATAGCATAGGATAGGCAGCCTCATTGTATCCAATGATCAGTTAACTGAGTCCCAACAGGTATTTTACCGGGGCCCACTAACGTTGGAATTTGTGCGGATGAGTAAAAATATCTTGCTTGTTTGTAAATCATTGTCCCGATAAATTATGTTATCCTTGGAAAAACTGCATGTTTTCAATGAAAAAGGTATGAATATTTTAACTCATACAGCTCTTTCAAAAACACCATTTTTCTCGAGCTTTCTCGGACAAATTAGGAAATGTAGTTAAATAATGTAGTTAAAGCCCGTTGATGTCACCGTTCCATGACAACGATTATTCTCGTTCATAAAATTTGTTAGATTAGTCATAATATGACCCTGATCGGTGATAATTTTATAGTGGATTAACATTTAACAACTATCACGTAATTCACAGAGACACTGGTACTTCAGTTACTGGTGGTATTGTAAGTTAATTAATCGCAAGAGCAGTGAATTCATTTTACATCACATCACTACAACTTCATGCTTCTAAGTCGTTCTGGAGGTGAACTATTAGTCTTGAATAAAGTCCATTGACGTAATGGATTCGCTCTTTCAAAACTCATGAGATTGGCATTAGTAAGGTATAGCCTTCTTTATTATGGTTTATTGTATTTGTAGGAAAAGCCTAATTTCACCGCTATAGCTCGAAATGAGAAAAATTCAATATTCGTGTTTTCTATAATAAAACTGGCTAGGCTCCACATAATTATCACACCAAGTAAATTCGGTGTCCGAGAAGTCTCAATTGTCAAGGAATAGTCTCTTCCAATTAATAACGTAGAAACGGCTTGAACTTTCTACGGTTTATGAAATACTCAAAAATGCGGAAATGATTTACCTAGGTTGTTGCAACGCCCGTCGAAATCATCGTCCCATGACAACAATTATTCGTGTTTCCTATTATAAACCTGGCTAGGCTCCCAATAATATCAAACCAAGTAAACAACTATTACGTAATTTTCATGTCTTACAACGGAGCCACCGGTAGATGTTCACCTACTGATCTGGTATTTTAAGTTCATTAACGACTCTGTAATTTCATTTTACATCACGTCTTGTACAGTTGTACTCAGCTTCTTGTATATCTAATTGTTGTTGTGGAGGTGAATTAAGTCAAGTAGACACGTAAGTTCGCTACTTTAACACCGATAATTCGATAAATAGGAGTTATAAATAAGAGTTATCTAAGAAAATATCTTGAAGCTAGTACGTTTATCACGAGTTGATTTTATAGCTCAGGAATGGGGAAAATTTAAGGCTCGCCGTTCGTGTGCGATTAGAAAATTTGGCTTGGCTCCCAAGTTCCATCAACAAACCAGGTAAACAAATAACGTAATTCTCATGTTTTATTACAGCAGAGACGCTGGTACTTCCGTTACTGATGCCTTTTAAGTTCATTTACTGCTAATTAAATTACTTTTACATGATGTAAATACTAAATACATTTTTTATGACGTCATTACACTCTCTTATTTGGATGGACTAACATTCCCGAATGGCGTTGAGTAAAGTATTGGATTTCTTTCTTTAAATCATTTTATTTAACTTTTAGTCTTTAATAGTAATATAGTGCGATTTCTAGGAATGGGGTGGATCCGTTTAGAGTTTAGACACAACAATTGTACTCCGTAAATCGTGTAGACTTACGGAGGAACTATAGTGAGCCATACCTAAAGACTAAAGAGCTGTATTAGTATACTAAGTGCTAAACTGTGATTTATGAACCCCGTCTGTTTTAGTCAAACGTCTGTTTTAGTCAAACGTCTGTTTTAGTCAAGACAACATATAACCGGTCAATACTGATCGGAGGGACTGGTGTTGATAGTGCTAGATGTCAGATAATAGTAAACTCGATGTTTTAAAAGTAACGTATTAGAGCCAAAGTTATTCAACATTTCTGTGTAATAATGTCATTTGCTAATTTGGTTTTATAAATCGATCACGCACGTGTTGCCATGGAGTCAGGGGCATCTCCTTGAATTTCCCCATAATTAATTACGTTTTTTCATGACTTTTAAACATAATTTACTATAATATAAAGATATAACATAGTAACAAATCAGTATAAAACATAACCTAGGCTTCTGAAGGAGATATGTTCTCTGTAGCACTATATATAGATACACTATAAGTATACATGACTATAATATGGAATATATAGTATACTATTGTACTCACCAGGTTTAAACCCAGATGCGATAAGCCCAGAGCCCATTCGTTTTATTTTTTCTGATACCTCAGTGTAGTCTAGCCAGCCATATGGCTGATCGGGTCCCGGTCTTTCTCCCAAACACCTGACACATTGTTACGTTTACTCGTGAGCTTGCATGCGGTGGACAGCATATAATATTAACTGAGAGCATGCGGTGAACAATATCTTATGATATTAACTGAGTTATGACGCGGGAATTATCTTTCCAGGGAATACCAGAAAATGGGATTCTATAGCCAACCCTTGCCAGGTACGTACATTACTGGTACCGGACAAGTTGGGATTATGTTCGAACAAGTGGTAATCGAATTTTAAACCCATTCAGAAGCTTATATTGTGGAGATGAAATGAATGTGAACAGCAGCCGGCAACGTCAAACTTGTTCTGGGCCTATCTTTGCTGATAAGCCTGCTCGGATGTCAAATATTGCCTAATTGGCTTACAAAGCTTTTCGTTTTAAACCCTTTGCATGGCCGGGAATTATTGGCAAAATTCTTCAAACTAGCAATATTTAAGTGAAGCATTATGAGCCTTTAAAACAACATCTATTTCGTCATAGAAAACATGTTTCAACCCAGAAATCAGGTCCGAAATTTCAATAAATTCCGGCTTTTGCTGGCAACCCTTGAAAGAATTTCCGGGATTCAATTGAAAATATTTTTCAGGAGCTAATAATTACTTACCGGCCGTGAGGACTGATCTTTAATCCATTCTGAAAACAATCATAAGCAGTCTTAAACTCTTTCCACCTGTCAAGATATTCTGGGGCTAGGTCGGGTATTATTGAGGTTCTCTCGCACGTGGCTGCGTCTACCTCTTTCGTCAGTTCTGAAATAAAGTGTAGGCTAGGAAACAGTGTGGAGCTACCAGAGGTCGAGATACACTATGCTCTTCATAAAGTCATAATATGTTAGCATTGAAATGTCAGCTCAACTAGTGAAAAATTCCTGTAATTACGATCCCGGAAACCATTGAATAGGTTTAATACCGGAAAATATTCGGATTCGAAATCTGTTGAACCTTACTCAATATACATGCTTTTATTGTTTAGTTAACTTTATTGAATGTGATCAGGTTCAGCTACTTGATAGTTTCTTAGTACCAGACGTTCACAGCATGCTTCCCCACTGTATAGCTGGAACACTTAATACTCACGAGGTGGCAGAGCTCGGCGGGGTGGGAGAGAGAAGGCTTGTCTGTACATGACGTAGGAGAGGGCTAGGGCGCTGGTTGTAAGGGCGGCCGGCACCAAGATACTCTCGTCTATATCTAACTCCTGCATTCTATTGGGTAGGGGATGTGTCAGGAGGGGGGGTGTGTAACATGATGGTTTAGTACATGTTTAGCAATGATTATCAACAGTGGTAAATCAAGGTCGCTGATAAGTTGATAGCATTTAAAAGCTTCGAAAAGTGCACATGCTTTTTGAAGATGCATCAGGAATACAGTGGGTCGGAGCGGTAGAATTTGCTTCAGCCTAGTAGTTGAGTAATGAGTACTAGTACTGAGTACTGAGTAATGAGTACTGGGAGTACTAGCTAACTTAGCAAGTACTCCTGTCATGAGGAACATATTTCTAATCGTAGAATGTTTATGGATACATTATTTATAGTAGAGCAGCTCTAAAATCTAGCAGAGCTTTATTTTTTAAAACTTGTTGGTACAAAGTTTCCAATTAAAATATACTTATTGTGTAAAATAATATGTCAGTTTTCTGTAAGGATTCTGTACTGAATCTGCATCTAATACGATACACTTAGTGTTCAACGTCATCACAAAAACTTCTTTACATCAAGAGTAAGAAATGAAGACTCATAGCGACTATAATATTGCGAATAACTGTACACACCCTCTCAGTCTAAAAACAACGTATTATATAATAACTTGCCATCTCTCTCTTTGGCGTGGCCACAAATGCACCTTCATGCAAAATATATTAGTAATCTTACATTAATCTAGCATTATACACTATACACTATAGTACAGTCTAACACAATTATATAAGCTCTTTTAGGACGGGCAGATAAAACAAATAAAGCTGGTTGGTTGCACATCTCCTATATATATATGTTCAACTAACAACGTCTTATCTTGATTTGTCTACCATAATCATCTATCAAGTTTGGAGATGATCATGTATGAATAAGATCACCGCATCAGCATATTTAAATCTAGAAATTATGAGCATGTAGATGGTTGTTATTGCATAAATGCTGTAAAACCTGTGATTTATTGCTAGGTTTGCAATTGATGTCTTTGTCATGTATCTTCAAACAGGCTGCACTACCTTACAATATGTAAGCTGAATATCAGCAGTTTGCTGGATTGGCGGAACTCAAGTGATCACACCAAAAAGAAATTGATTTTTAATAAATTATACTGATCAAAAAAGAGTATTGATCGCATTCATGCAACTATCAAAAATAGCGGTTTCCTACTAGATAAAGTGAACATTTGTAAAGCACATATTACACATTTTGCATACGTTTATATATGTTTACATTTGTGTAGAGCTCTCCCTTATCTGCTGTTTCTATTTACAATAAGACGAGCTCATCACTGTGTACGTGTAATTGTTAGACGGCCTTGTACAATGTACACTTCAAAGTATACACACATACATTATACACGTACACTGAATCTGTAAACTATGTCACCTGTTGATTCCGATTATGATGACAAAATACGGCTACTTATTGGCAAGTTATTGGCAACCTTTTATATAGCAGATCCGCTCTTAAAAACTCTCCTGACCGCTCTTGATTCGTCTAAAGATGGGTCCGCCAGCTACATTAAACGCTTGGTTAAACTCTCTTGGCAAGTGAAGGCTTATTTGAAAATATACTGTGCCTTTACAACAAGCACCCTCGTTGTCGGGACCTATCTACAGTAACAACTATCTGTTTGGTCTACTAAGAAACCTATTTTGGTAGATCCATTGGCACTCAACAACTATGATGACATAGTATCTTGCTGTCCTGCATTGTTTTTTTATAGTGCCTTTAGAATCTTTGATCTCGAATGAGCACTGCCTCTTAAGAAACTAAACGTCACATTTTGTTACTCCATAGAGATCCCATATTTGGGCGGCGTAGAAATCACGTCCTCTCGAACAACAATTCCCATTAAAAACCTACTTAGCTGCACAAACGAAACCTCTCTCTACAATATCAAACTGAAATATTCAAACAATCTCACAAGGCAAGGATTCACAGAGCACACAACACATAACATTACATACTGAGCAGTACAAGCGGTTGCCAAACAACACCGTACAATATGAGCACGCTACTAGCTGCCCATATTAGGATCGTGCGTGCTGTGCGTGTGACGTACTGCTGACAGCAATCAGATTATTACAAACCAACAAACAGCTGTTGATCCTTAGCAAGACAAGGATAAATTTCACAAATGTACCAAAGGGACTCTGTAACATTGCACACTGCACAGTGAGTGAAAATTTAACTTATATTGATAAGAGGGGACGAGGAAAATATGGGGTGATCTGGTGGTCAGCAAAGCGTGCAGTTGGGAGGGCGCCTCAGCTGAAGGTGGTCAGCAGAATCCCTCTCAACCAGTAATTATAAACATTGACAAATAGAAAACGGGCTGGTTAAAATCAGACGACAGAGAACTTACCAACTCTCACCAACACCTAAAATCTTTAAAGTAAAGTAAGTATGTTAACTTGGAGTCTGTTAACAGGAAAGAAACCAAACATTCTAGCCAATACTAGGTCGATATAAGCCGGTATTTGCATATTAAGTTACACCGACACTCCAACGGTCACAAGCGTCAATTATAGGTCTGCATGAAGATTCTAAGTGAGTAACCAGTGGACGGTTTTGAAATTTAATCTCCGGATTAGTTGTGAGGGTTTGAACCTCATATATAAAGCTAGCCGACTGCAATGCACTCAAGCCTAAAGTCCTTATTTAGTACCTAGCTCAATAAGTCTCCTCTACACCATCTTTAAATCGGATTGCTTCAGTTAGAAGGGCTTTATCTCACTGCTCTTGAGTCACGACAGCATTAAACCAATCAGTGAGTCATTACAATTTATAATGAACAACCGCACCACAGGACATAACCAATTTTCTGTATTAACTTTTTCCAATAAATCCGACCGTTACCGTGTATTGTTTCTGTTGTATTTATTGCACTCAAAAAGTTGAAGCCATATTATTGAAAATATGCGAATTTTAAGAGACTCTAATCACGTTCATGGAGTAAGAAATAGATTTGGATTCTGGTGAGTATGAAGCATATTTTTTGTCACGTGACAGCATTAAACCAATCAGCTTCTACTTTTGGTCAATTAAACCCCAGATATAACTGATTATAACTCTATAACGCATCAAAAATATCTTTAACCTCTCCACCAGAATCCACATCTAGTATGTTTGTTAAATAAGAATAAATGAAGAGTCCAACGTCATAATCATTGATTGTTTTGTAAAAAACTTTCAAAAATGATTGATTACAACCATGAGTTTATCACAAATAAAGACCGTACAAATCAGGACAATTTAAGGGATCCATAAGGCCACAGTATACATTACACAACCACTCACCACATTACCCAACGGCACTTACAAAACATTTGAGGATAAATTCCACAACATTACAGCCAAACCAATGACATGATTATGTATGTACATAGTAATTACATAATTAATTATCCACATTATAATTTAAAGTACTACACAACATCAAGGAATTACACTATCTCTTCATGCTCTGCTACAATTCCACAGAAGTGCACTATAAGAATTAAGTTTATTCAACTGTGGAATACTTTTTCAATGGTGACTTAGAACTTTAGAAGTTTGACGATTTTGCCTTCGTCACTGGCAGCGAATTTGACGGCGGCTTTTGAATAAAATCATCCGATTCTGCGGAGGAACACAGTTATCAGCAGGTCGTGAAGATAAGCTCACTGTATGAAAAATATAATCAGGTCATAACAATTATATAAGCAGATCGTTAAAATGAGTAGATCGTAAAAATTCTCGACAATTTTAACAATAATTAAATCAACATGCATTGTCATCGTTTGAGCAATCGATAATTCATTCCAACTTTTTGAATTTGTGAAGGTGGGGTGCCATCATGGAACCAGACTGGAACTCAAATTTTACATGTAATTACAAAAACTAACCACTTAACCAATTATAATCAACTAACATACCACAAGATAAGAATGAAGGTATTACATACTACAAGATAAGAATGAAGGTATTACATACCACAAGATAAGAATGAAGGTATTACATGCCACAAGATAAGAATGAAGGTATTACATACTACAAGATAAGAATGAAGGTATTACACGCCACAAGATAAGAATGAAGGTATTACATACTACAATATATAAGAATGAACTTTTTGAATTTGTGAAGGTGGGGTGCCATCATGTCTGGAACCAGACTGGAACTCAAATTTTACATGTAATTACAAGAACTAACCAATTATAATCAACTAACATACCACAAGATAAGAATGAAGGTATTACATACTACAAGATAAGAATGAAGGTATTACATACCACAAGATAAGAATGAAGGTATTACATGCCACAAGATAAGATTGAAGGTATTACATACTACAAGATAAGAATGAAGGTATTACATACTACAAGATAAGAATGAAGGTATTACATACTACAAGATAAGAATGAAGGTATTACATACTACAAGATAAGAATGAAGGTATTACATACCACAAGATAAGAATGAAGGTATTACATGCCACAAGATAAGATTGAAGGTATTACATACTACAAGATAAGAATGAAGGTATTACATACTACAAGATAAGAATGAAGGTATTACATGCCACAAGATAAGAATGAAGGTATTACATACTACAAGATAAGAATGAAGGTATTACATGCCACAAGATAAGAATGAAGGTATTACATACTACAATATATAAGAATGAACTTTTTGAATTTGTGAAGGTGGGGTGCCATCATGTCTGGAACCAGACTGGAACTCAAATTTTACATGTAATTACAAGAACTAACCAATTATAATCAACTAACATACCACAAGATAAGAATGAAGGTATTACATATTTACAAGATATTAGATAAGATTTAGGGTATTACATACTACAAGATAAGATTGAAGGTATCACATACTACAAGATAAGAAAGAAGGTATTACATGCCACAAGATAAGAATGAAGGTATTACATACTACAAGATAAGATTGAAGGTATTACATACTACAAGATAAGATTTAATGTATTACATACTACAAGATAAGAATGAAGGTATTACATACCACAAGATAAGAATGAAGGTATTACATACCACAAGATAAGAATGAAGGTATTACATATTATCACAAGATACGATTTAAGGTATTACATGCCACATGCACTATAACTACATAGAATTAAAGTACCCCGGGGCTGATTGAGCAGAATGTCTCTTACCTGGTAGACACGAGTTGTCGGACAGTCGTCACAAGGTTGTTGTAATGGTCCATATTGCAAGTAGTACAGGAAGTGTGGTCAGTCTGACAGCTCACCAGTCACCTTAACACTTGGTACAATACAAACGTTATGATAATGTGGGAATGAGGTTGGGTTTTGTTGTGTTGTTATTTATCATTTATGTTAACACCACAAAGATTTTACAAGAGTACGATACAATGCTGCAGTAGGAAGGTTAGGGACTTAATTAAGAAAATTCACAGTGCTTTAAAATAGCTTCAAATAGCCTTTCAGTCAGCAGTTCAACAATTTCAAAAAGAAAAGAGTTAATTGAGACTTGAGAAGTGCTTCACGTTAGTTAATTAAACAAGTGTTTGTTTTTTCAGTTGAAAATGTAAGAAACAAGATATTTGTAATGAGTATAACATTGAACTGGATGAAATTTAAAAACAGAGAGTATTCTATTCTCTGCACAACAGAGCTTCTGCAAAACGTAATACGAGAAACATCTATAAATATATTACACATCTAAACAGAATAATAAATATCATGAAATTCACATTGTCAAACTTATAACTTGATTATGGCGCCCGCCCGATGATAAAATTCGGTAATAAAATTAAGCGTATAAATCCTCCAAGATTATACACAATACTATTAACATGAACACGTACAAGTACGTGATATTTTAGAAAACTATAAAATTCACTGTGTCTGACCGTTAGCGTTGTGTCTCACAACCTCACTAGCAGTAGACTTCGCAGTTCGCTTAACCAATGCTTTCCCGCCCAGTTTCCGAGCCTGCCCATAAGTTAAACCCACATTAACAACACTGTGAATGCTATCCTCAGCAACTGACCCAGCAGCCTCGCCGTATCTAGCTGTCACTGTCACATTAGCGCCCTCAGCCAGGGCCCGCCCCAGGTTCTTGGCTCCTTCCTCCAGACCATCATACAGTGTCGCTAATCCTGCCAGTGCACTGGCTCCCACCTGACAGGCGTCCTTCACGTTTTGTTCTGATATTCTGCTCTTAGCACCCGCCACATACTTGTTATCTGATGAGCCGACTACTTTTTTAACGCCAGCAGTAACATGTGGAGCAACCAGTTTAGCGAGGGCTGATATCCCTGAAGCTAGCTGACAAACAGCTTGTCCCGTCAGGACGGACACGTTTTTAGTGGTATCTCGGAGAGTTGCAATCTGTTGCCGAGTGTTATCACTTATCTCTACATTCCTGGTGCTTGGTTTGATGTGCTCTTTCAGAGAATGTGCTCCTTTCCGCAACAAGTCTCCTCCAACTTTAGAACCCCAAACAAGGCCCATGGACACCACCTCAGCAGTAGCCTGATACCTCCTGATACTTTATCAACTGTCCGAGGAGCTGGAGGATCCTCTCTCAGATACGGTTTAACTACAGTGCTGGACTCTGATGTGGAGAGAGCAGGGGGTCGTGTTGGGGGCGGTGGTCGGACTGGTTCTACACTCTGTACACTACTAGAACTATCATCCAGGATCACGTCATCCCAAGATTTGACGTGGAGGTTGGTGAGGGACATGATCAACTTCTGAAAATCAGCCACCTGTTTGGAGTCTACATTCTCAAGGATGACCCCCATGTATTTATTAGCTTGAGTTAAGGATGGGAACATGAACTGCTTCTCCCCGACCTGGAGCACTGGAGAGGCTTTAGAGACCAGTGGATACATCATCTCTCCTATCTGGAGACACGATACAGGGTTAGTGTACTTGGATGAGATCAGGTGACTCACCTTCGCGGAGACATTCTTACCGGTTTGGGTGACTTCCCCAGCACCATCAACATCAAATATGGAGATACCCGATGGAATGCTAATGACTTCCTTTGCCTCTTGAGCACCAGAAAGGAGACTATGGATATCATCCATATCTTCCAACAAATTTGACAAGTCCATATCTTCCTCTTTCGGAGGTGCACTTGGCTCGTTAACAACCTCCTCCAAAACTCGTAACCTCTCTTTTGCCATATTCAAAACAAAGGTAGCCTTCTTAACGTCTTGTTGTAATCTGGGATCAGAGCAGCGCATGCTAATAGCTCTGGTTATCTGACTGAGCCCCTGATAGTATAAGTGTTTTGCGCGCTCCACATCTCCCTCTGTGTCAGCACTCTGTGCTTCGAATATTAGTTTGTAGCCGTTCTTTAATTTCGTTTTGATTCTTTCGTATATACTGTCCACCTGGGTACAGCTGGATGGACTCTGGTGTGAAGCTTGCATCCTGCAGTAATATTAGATAATAAAGCTTCTGAGAGTGAATTTTCATAGTGGAATTATATGAAGGGCGAGTGGATTAGGAATTTACAAAGCAATCATGTTAATAGTAATTATATTTCGGACTGTTATAGAGGATTGAATGAGTTGTAAAATTTACAACGTTCTATAATTGATTTAATGGTAGGTTGATCAATGATGTTGACATGCTTAAAATTTGTGCTCTGCAGGATATTAAATATTCATCCGGGAAAACCTAGTGTTCTCTTTAAAAAGGACTGCTGATGAAACTTACAAATTTGAAAAATTCTTTGAAAGCGTCTTTGTTTGCTATTCAGCCACACATCTTATTATGGAGGTTGCCTAGACATGGATTTGATATTAAGAATGGAATTATATTAATTAATCGAATGAATTGAATCCGTTTGGCCTATACATTTAAAGTGCCATTCCGGAATTGTGAAATGTTTAAACGCAATTTATCACCATGTTGATAGTATTCGTGAAGAGTATGGTTAGATTTAAGACTTACAGGAACCATACAATTTAAATAAGTTTGGAGATGGTATGTTTTAATTTCTTCCTGTAAGCAATTACGACAGAGTATAATTATAGAAGAGCGAAGTACCAAGCTAACACATAAAAAAAAGTACATCATGGATATGATAATAATAATTTTAAACTTATTTTTAACAATCACGAAGGATACAAAAATCAAGGTACAAATTATTCATAAATAAAACGTTAAGATTAATTTAAAACTGGCAAACACAACAATAACCTGGGATGGTTGAAAACACAAAAATTTCATATAAACTATTCAATTCGTGTAAATGAAAGTCCACCCATTTCCAGTAAGAACATACTTTTAAATCTGATTCTCTAAAATCAAATCAATCCGGGAATATCTGAAAAAGTTTCAATTATGTTACTAAGCTATCTGATACTATCAGATAGTTTGGAAAAATAAATCTAATTGGATCTAATCTGAAATCTAATTTAAAATAAGTGTGTCCAGCATAAACGTGTGCAATGAAGTTTGAATCCCAGTACATATTATGGGATACTCTGGTAATGATAGGTGATAAATAGCAAGCAAACTTCAATATAATAATTTTGAAGTTTTTAGTATTATGGTATGATATTAATAAGATATTTTGACATAGCACAAAGGATTATAAAAGTTACAACTGTTCGTTACAGTGGATATTGGATGGATATTGAACAAACTACACCATGTTGACCATCATGGACTGAAGGACATCAGTGTAAGATGCAGCGATAGCTTCTCTTCTCTTCTTCATGGTAGGAGTCACCAGGTTGTTCTCAACAGTGAAAGCCTCGGGTACAAGTTTGATGTGTCGTACCTGTTCAAAACTCTTCAGCTCCTTTTGGCCCATTGTCTGGATCGTTTGGAGGACCATGCCAGCACTGTTGGGATCTGCAACAAATTCTTCTACAGAAATTGGGGGGTCCATTTTAGACAGAATCAGTTCATCTGGTACTATGATACCTACAAGACTTGACTTGAGGGACTCTCCGTACACGAAACATTGACCAACAATTGGGCAGCGCTCGTAGACGGCCTCAATCTTATCTGGAGCAATGTATTCACCCTGAGCAAGCTTAAACAGATTCTTTTTTCGGTCGATTATCGATAAACATCCATGGTCTGTCCACTTGCCGATATCTCCTGAATGCAGCCATCCTTCACTGTCGATAGCAGCTGCCGTCTTCTCGGGGTCTTTGAAGTAGCCTTTAAAGACTGTGGGGCCTTGGAAGCAGATCTCACCGCGGTTATCCTTTGCAAAATACTCTTTCTCAGGTACATCAACAAGCTTAACTCTCAGAGATGGGAAGGGTACTCCGATGTGACCAATCGAGTGGTCACCGTCCAATGACATAGTGCTCACTCCGGACATCTCAGTTTGACCGAAACCCTCCATAACGTAGCATCCCAATACAGCTCTGTACCATTGCAAGATATCACCTCGGCAAGGTGCAGATCCGGTGATCAGCAGACGACATTTACCTCCAAAGGATTTCTGTACTTTCTTGAAAAGAATGCGGTCCCAAAGAGAGTTACGACGGTAGATTCCTGCCTCAACCTCTTTCATTTTTGATGCTAAGGCGATGTCGAAGAGTTTCCCAACGAGAGCTTTTTCGTGAACAAGGCCGTTTATTTTATCAAAAGCTTTGTTTAAAACTCGAGGCACAGATGGAATTACGGTGGGTGAAAGAGTTTCAAAATCGTTCAGAAGAAGCTTCAGATCTCCTTGGAAATATCCAATCTTTGCCCCTAAATAAGCAAAGAAGCATTCGACGGCGAATTGATAAACATGAGCCAAAGGGAGGTAAGAGATAATGGTATCACGGTGGTCCAGAAAAGTGGTGACATTTGCTTTCAGTCCCATGCAACAAGCAGCAATGTTACCATGGGATATCAGAGCTCCTTTTGGTGTACCAGTAGTTCCACTGGTATAACAAATCAGAGCTATGTCCTCTGGAGTAGGAGGCCTGGGCTCAATTCGTTTGGTCAGGCCATAAACCTCAAAGTCACCAAGCTTAATGATGTCAACACCTAGACTTGCCGCTTTTTCTATGTTCTCATCGGACAAATCACTGCCTATCGACACGATCAACTTTATCTTAGACTCCTCAGCCCACTTTAAGATATTATATACGAGAGCAGAATCAACAAAGACAACTTCAAGTCCGGTAGTATCGAGGATGTGTGTCATTGCTTTAGCACCCAGGGTATCATAGAGGGGCACAAGTGTCATATTGTAAGCGCTGCAAGCGTGCATGACGACCCCCCAGTTAGGGCTGTTCTTGGCGTATATCCCAACAAAGCTCTGTTCCTGACAACCTTTATCAACAAGACCCGATCCTACATTTCGGAATCTTTCGTATATCTGAAAAAAATTTAAATTAGTGTTTCTTAATAAAGAAATTGTATATTATTATTATACTACTTTATAACCTTCAAACTACTTTCTAACTCTCAAGTTGTTTATGCAAAATTAACACACGAAATTAAAATTAATTGTACCTCTTTTAAAACTGAATTCTAAGTCTAAAATCAAAATACCTGTTCATAACTAAGCCATTTATAAGGCTTGCCAGGGAGCTCCATTTGCCGGAACCCCAGAAAAGGAGCTGAAGGGCCCAAAACATATCCTCTTTTGAACGCTTCATAGAGTGTGGATATAACAGGGACCCAGCCATCTTCCATTACACTCTCCCGATGGTGTTCTTCTCCATTAACGGCCCTGGTGAGGACTTTAGCAGGCAGCCCCTTTGGGGTAGGTACTCTGGTGGTATAGAGTACGTAGCACGCTGCTGCAAACACTGCCGATGCTATGGCAATCCCCACAACCATCACTCTTTTAACACCTACAAGAACGTGTAACATCAAAGTTATGTAGAGTGAGTAACAAATTGTTAATTAAAATTATACAATAACTGATACATATAATAATAAGATTTGAAATATTTGTAGCAATAAGACAATTTGTAGCAATTAGACGCAGAGGATACGATCCAATTAGAAATATTACAGTTGATTAGAATATCCAACCCTCAATTATAAACATCGTTTAAAGTAACATACCTTTTTAGTAATTAAAATATTACCATGACTGCAAAACATTGTAAATGGATATCCTAAAACTAACTAATTTGTATTTTCATTCGGAAATAAAAATCTTTGAGGTGTTTCCTTGACCGTATAAGCAGCTCAGGCGTGGTTTTGATCTAACTTAAACGATTCATCCAACAATTTCATCCTTGTTTAGAAGTTTGAGGAATTTATCCCTCAGTTTTGATATAGTCAAGTATGATGATATTGCTATGCAATCAAGAGACTAAAATTTTGATAATATCACATTTAAATCTTAACCTCTCACGTTAGTGAGGTAGAGCACACCAATGTTTCAGTTAAAAACATTGGCTCCAAGCCAGCCGTTTTGCAGTCTTGAATTGTAAATTCAATTACACAACCTAAAATCAATTAATAGAAGCATACATCTTTAAAATGTGATGTGTTTGAACGTTTTAAAAGCAATCAATGATATCATTGTTTTAATGCACTGAAATGGTTCGATAACCGTTTCGATAAAATTTATACATTTTAATGAGTCAAAAAGTTATTAAAGAATCAAAAAATTTAAAAACTAGAAATTTTGCATATTGTTCTGAGTTGATAGTCAGTAAGGTGTATGCTTCTTAAATCTTAAACCTAGTTCTAATTGGGTTTTCAACATCATATAAGTAAAATTTCACTCTAAATCTCACATCTTCAAATAATTAGCTTGCTGTCAAATTTTAACGTTGTAAAGATCAAACCTTATCGGCAATAAGGGATCGTTCACACATAACATAAGCAAGATTTTAGCTTTCTTCTTTACCTCCACCCCATCTGCTCTATAAACTTGTTTAGATATAGCTATTATGTATAGAAATTAATTAAGGGTACTACCCATTCCCAAACCCCCTCGTCTAGAAGTTGGCTTATGCATATGTAATATATAATGTGAACGATTCCTAACCAAGATGAAACATTATCAAACAATTCCTAATAATTGCCAATAAAGTTGTACAGTCAAACCAATTTTAACCGTGACACTATTTACCAGGTTCCTCGAATATCCAGGCTTTTTTCTCTTTATGGTTAAAGAAATTGTAAGTTTTAACATTCACTTTCATTTACCCGGAATTTTTGCACTCCCCCAAAAAGCCTTCTAAACAGTGGTTTGACTGTACTTGAATGGTCTTACACTTACTTCAAGGCAACAAATAGACATCTATCATAAGCCGTTTATACACTGGAAACGTGTTTCCAGAATATCTAATACGACTGCCCAGAAGTGAGTTCAAGGAATGATGGAGGAAAACTGAGGTTTATTATATATTATGTAATGATTGGCGGAAGCTTTGAACTGAACTCATTTCTGCACAACCTCATTTAAGTACCTATTTCATGCACTTCCTATCAATTTTTGTAGTTCCAGAAGGTTATAACTATTGCAATTTATAATAAGAACGGTAAATGAACCCTCGGGGGTCACGATTAGGTCCTTCTACAATCTACATGTTGATGATCGAATTAACATTAACATAATATGTATTATATCATCGACTATTGATACTTTAGCTTCCAACAATATACTTAGAATATGGGTGTAGTGTCCAGCTACATATTTTTACAATGTATTGAATAGAAGTGCAAAAAAATTTTACTGTTCATGTAAGAACAAGAAATAGTAAAATCTCTCTGTTCAAACTATCTTAACATAGAAACATTTTAAAGAGTCATAACTTCATAAAGTGTACAAAAACAAAAAATGTACAAAAAAGGTTATTAAAAACGATAAAAATATTATCCTTTTACGTTAAAAATCTCGATTTGGAATGATAAATAAAAACTTCTTCATATAATTTAGATATAAGTGTAATGACAATTGTTGGCTACCATAATATGTCTATATTGTACATTAAAAAGTATCAATGGGCCATGCCTCTACTGGTGTCTATTTACAGTTTAAATATGCCTACTCCATCGGTATAATCTATTTCTAAATATTCTAGTAGTTTATAAATGTTAACTGTTCTATACTAACTTAGGTATTATGTTCAGTCCTCTATAATTCATAATATACTATCTCTAAGTAAGAATGTTTCCTAAGCGGTATGACAATTGCCTCAACGACATGTACATGGGACATCATAAATAAATTAGCTTACTTTAAAATACTATACATAAAATTCAAATAGATGTACATTCACAGTAGAAAATGCTAGTGTGTCAAAGGATGTACAAACAATGAAAGCTTTGCTAAATATGCAGATATATGATCTAAAACCCTGAGCACAGGGTTAAACTATTGTGCATCAAAATTATACTTGTGTTAAATTTTCAAAAAATAAGTAGAGAGGTACAGAAACATGAATGTAAAAACTAACGGTTTCAATCAACTGATCAGAGTTTGATTTAACACCTAAGCATATTGAATATCGGCTAGTGTTACATTGCTTCACAAATTGCAGGGCGCTTATTTCTAACATCTTTGTAAACAGCAAATGCCGAGCAGAGAGCTTTCTTTATCGATTCCAGTTGAACTAAAGCAAGAGCTTTAGTCAGAGTGGTCCATGCATAATCATTGTGTTCTGATGACAGGTTGATTTTCACGTCTGAGTCAACCACTTTTGCAAGGTAAAATACAACAGTTTTGAACCGTCTTGACCTACTTTGATAGGAGATTAATTCTTGAAAGCCATCAATCATATCAATTTCATCGAAGGTTATTCCAGTTTCTTCATAAGTTTCCCTAATAGCAGCATCGAAACCATTTTCAGATCCTTCTAGATGGCCTTTAGGAGGACCCCAGCAACAACCTTCAGCAGACTTTAAAAGCAGAATTTCAGGGTTGCCTGATACATGTCGTAAGATAAGGATTCCGGCGGACACTAACATGACCATGACTTACACCCTGTAAATATATTGCAATGAAATCAACAGTCAAATTGTTTACAAGATCACTGGTGTAACACAAGATGAATTATTGACATTATCATACTTTGATAGAATTTGTGTACGTTGAAATGATTGATTCAGACACAAAAGATGCAATAACTGAGCTAACCCATCTTAAACAAAATTTCTTAATTTTAAGGGTGAAAATAAAGAAAACATGACTGTTTAATCTCTGGACGCTTTTGTTCTGGTTGCCCCACCAAAAGAACAGGATTCTTATAGGAAGCATCCTCCAACACATAAAAAGCACATAAAAAGTACAATTTTATATAATACAGGGTGGCCCAGAAGAAACTGCCCATACAACCCTTTAATAACTTACGTAATTCTTCGTACAATTGCACAGAAATTTCAGAGATTATAGATATGGGTCGAACTTAGATTTCCTGAGATTTATATCTACATTTTTGATAAATACTTGGATAAAACCACTTCTTTGAAATGGTAGTAATATTGAATATGAGTACTAGTAAAACAAAGTATTTTTTTAGTAAAACAAAGTATTTTATTTATTAGCAGTGCAATCAATTCATATGATATAATTATAAGAATATAATAGTATGTCACACCTATTTAACTGTTACTTTTGAGTAGTCGTGCCATGGCTAAATCTAACTAGGACCAGTGGTGTCGGTTAACATCAAGAACTTACTATAACGCATTTATCATGGGTACAGAATACTTTTTTTTGATGTTGCTAAAAGATCTTTGTTTTACTTGAATATTCCGACAGGACACATTCTGCCCACAATAAGCTAAGGGGCCATAATTGTTTACAATACATTCATGTGTGTATAATGTATATTGTATATGATGGGTACACCGACAAGATTTAAATCTTTTGGTAGGGCCCTTCCTCACAGTAATTTCCTTTTATTTGACTGAGTCAACTGTAGGGACTGTGGACTGTTTATTATGTACCTGCAGTCTTTTCCCCACCCCATGGATTAATTTAGCCAGCAAGACCTGTATCTTTAACCTTTTGATTGCAAGTTATCAAAGCTAGCTACAAGATTATGTTTTTGGATCACTCCTATTCCTCCTTTGCATATAAATACAGCAATACCCTGATTTACCGCGGAGTTTGGGAGAAAGGAAGAAGCCGCGTTAAATCAAGGTTTGCAGTAAATCGGGGTTTGTGGTAAATCGGGGCGTGATAAATTGGGGTTTTACTGTACACACTGTTATCTCCATTAAAGGAAAAACTGTAGATGAGGCGTATGAGAGAGGCAATCAACTATTGACATCTATAAGAAAATATATGGTCCATAACACCCTTCACACTTGCTCTAACCAGAGCCCTCTCACTTGCAGTAGCGCACGAGGGTGAAACAAGCGTGTCACGCAGTACGCGTATACACATGGCTATCTGAACCTTCACACGGACATATTCAATTAAACTGAACCAGTAGAAATACCAGATTTGCTTTAACTCCATATAATAATAATAATTCTATACTGTTACATAATTTAAAATTATGGCCCCTTATTGTGGGCAGAGTATGTGTCTTTATTTAAGTGTCCTGATTTAAAAATCATCTGAGTGACTGCATTGAAATAATTTAAGGAGAGTACCATAAAAACGTTAAAACAAAAGGATTAACAACTAGAACATACTTATATTAATATCAACATTAGAACAAAATACAGTCACCTAATTCTCTTTTTGAAATAAATTTTCGTGCACATACAGAATGAATGGTTAATAATTTAATATATATGTAGACCAAGGTCTGTGCACGGGATGCTTCCTGGAAGAATCCAGTTCTTTTAGCGGGGCACCCTACCTAAAGCCAAATTGAGATATAATAATCATATTCCTAAGAAATAATCAGAAATCGAATACCAATCAAATAATACGATATATAGGAGTA